ATTATCAGTCACGGGATTGTCTGACCTAGACTCGATTATTTATATCAGGTTCCGAACACAGTACCAAAGGAGCTAGGTATCAGGCACTACCGTTCCGCAATGAATAGCAGAAGAGGATTTGAGGTAAAACCGATAGGGCTCTTTGAATCTTTAAACACCATTAAGCATGGCCTGTTAATTACACGTTTAACTTTAGACATCGGTGTTTGCTTGTCGACAAGGTTTTCGAAATGATTTACCCATACTAAATATAGAGCTGCGTCTCCTATGAATGACATTCTACCCCTTTGTGAAAATGATATTCGTTCGTAAAGGTGAGGTGAGGTGAAATTGGGAGCTGCGAATATTTCTCTCATGACGCATGCATGTGTATGTGTATGTGTGGCTGCTTGTACTAGCCCAGAAACATTCTACCCATGTGTACATGAATAGTAGCAATTGTAACACGGGGCAATTGTGAAAATGACTTGATTTCGTTCGTAAAGGTGAGGTGAGGTGAAATTGGGTTTAACGTCGTGCTTGAGAATATTTCGCCTTTGCATATGACCTGCGATGTATGCATGTATGTGCAATGTGCGGCTGCTTGTACTAGCCTAGACTGAAGCTGGTTTTATAAGAAAGTAAATTTTTAGTAATGGAAACCCCTGAGATACCATGCCGCAGTGAAGCATGAATACCCCACTCAGACACATTATACTGACTCCGAGCCGACCAGTCCTTGTAACCATTAATGCCGAGCGCCAGGCAGGGACCAACAACTACCATATTTTAACGTCTTTTGGTATGACGCGGTCGGGGTCATTCGTAAAGAAAATTGGGACTTGACTGTTGATTGTGTCAACAACTGTTTCATTCACATCTCATCCGTTGTTGGCTTATATGTAGGCTATACACAATAGTTTTGGGTCGGCCAACCGGCGCCCTGGAATGTGTTGTCTGGAAGATAGTGTTCGGCACCGCATGTTCTCAGGTTTATAAAGGCTGGACAATAATCTGCATATAAATGTTCAAGTTGATACGCTTCGTTAAACACATTAGCCTTTGCCAGAGGTTTACGCTCTTGCATGTACGAATATAGCTTTGAGTGAGTGAGTTTAGTTTTACGCCGCACTCAGCAATATTCCAGCTATATGGCGGCGGTCTGTAAATGATCAGTCTGGATCAGACAATCCAGTGATCAACAGCATGAGCATCGATCTACGCAATTTGGATACAATGACATATGTCAACCAAGTCAGCGAGCCTGACCATCCGATCCCGTTAGTCGCCTCTTACAACAAACATGGGTTACTGAAGACCAATTCTAACCCGAAACTGAATCTGGTCGTTGGAGCGTCGGTGAAGCAGGTAGCAATACCTCTAATTACTGACATTGTAAATTTATCAACTGACTTACACCGTATTCAAATTGATTGAATCAATACATAAAGAACACAATGAATAAGTTCATTATTGCAATAACAATCTTGCACAGTAACTCCTGATTGTGAAAAAAGACTTTCATAGAATTGTAAGCTTCCATGTGTTTTGAAGACAGACTTTGCTCCGGTCACATTTGGAAACAAGACAATCGGGGAATCGTCATACCCGCGAAGTTGAAGCCTATTTCTCCTTCCTTCACCCTGTGCGTTCAATAATCAATTCCAATCTCAGAGTTCATTGTATTAGTACTTCAGTGTCAAGATGACACAGGAAAATACCCCATGTGTGAAGACCTGCATTGTTGGCGTGCATGCCCTCTGTTGAGTAACCCCACTGCGTGTTGCTAACCGGTTATTATTGCCCAGGTTAAAGTTGAAGACGAATATCATGTTATACATTGTTGACCTTATGAATTTCGTTTTTATCTACCAAATGCAAGAACTTTAATAATGTACAACACCATGCTTTATACAAGCTAAAATTGTTAGGTTTAAAATTTACATTTGTACAATATATTACTTGTTCAAAGCATTATCTGTCTTCGTACTTCAGATGTTTCGCGAACACCAAGTATCATGGACCCATGAATCAGTTTGGGCGGATAATCGGGACACTTGACGTTTTATATTCACATGTTTACATATTTCTATTGTTTTATAGTCTGTCGTAGCAGTAAACAGGTGGCTCTTTGATTATTTCTTATCATTTGTAACATCTTGTTTTACTGTTTGAGGTGAGCATATGTTTATCTCTGTATGACATAAGAGTAATACCACACATATATGCAATGCCTGTATCTACCAGTAATCATACCACTAAGGAGAGGAATGTCACAGGGCGTGAGATTGTTCTGAAAAGAGTATTGATACAACATGCACAGGTGCTCGGCGCAACACACGGTGCTTGATGGCTGATAAAACACTTCCTGGTTGTCTGCCTTTGTGTATTCAGATCTGTTTAAAATACGTTTGTTAAGATTCTTGATGAACTATTGATGAAATCTGCACCGAGGCATGAATGTACACAAGTGTATAGTATCACCATGTGAGCTGATAGTGTAGCGCATTGACTATTCTGCTGCTCCACAATGCATAAATCAACGTCTACGTGTATGGTTTGCGTGATATTACCTCAGCTGTCGGGTCAAGAAGATCTAATGATGGTAAAGAATTGGTAAAATATATATGAGCAATTTGTCTTGTGACAAAAACCTTTTCAGTTGCAACACAGCATAAAACTATATTGAAATTCGTTAGAATTACCAATACGAATCCCAAGTGTTGAACTATTCAGTAATTGTTATGCTTACGGGTGTATCAACCCCTTTTACCTGTGAGTATGACGGACCGAGTTTTATCACTAGCTAACTGTTAACACCGTATTGCTACAGAATTGACGTTCATCAATTTTTCTTAGGAACGCTGAACCTTGGTAATTTAAATTTAAGCATTTAAAAACGTTACAAAAAGACCCGTGGGTCAAACTATGTAGACATATCTGGTCTATTGTTGTGTTCCAATCTCATGGAACTCATTAAACAGACAACCGTTTAGTTTGCCACGCATCGCCTCATAATCTCGTATTGAATTGTAAGAATGGATTGAACTCAATCAGTCGGGGCTCAGTCTTCCGTGAAAGAACAGCCGACTCAGTGTAAACAAAGTGATATGCTAGATTATTAGAGCTGCTAGATGTCACAAGGGATCCGTGAAGATCCGGGTCAGAATTGATCTTCAGTAACCCATGCTTGTCGCAAGAGGCAACTAACGGGATCGGTGATCAGGCTCGCTGGCTTGGTTGACACTTGTCATCGGTTCCCAGTTGAGCAGATCGATGCTCATACTATTGATCACTGGATTGTTTGGTCCAGACTCGATTATTTACAGACCGCCGCCTTATTGCTGAGTGCGGCGTAAAACTAAACTCACTCACTCACCTAACAAAGGATGTATGCGATGTATTGTATTACTATTGTATCGCGTGGTGTGTACCATGTACTTCTTAACTGGCTCTATTATTGCCATTGAAGCAAACGTGATACTACAGTATGATATTGCCCTGTTCACCTGGCTTGTTAAAAATAAACTATACTCTTGCCCAATTAAAATGTGAATATGGGCCTTGTGACTGACACATCCACCAATAAACGAACTCAGAGGGTAGTGTTCGAATTTAAAAGGTGTGTGGGTAGTGTTAAGAACACTCAGACATTATTATTTACTTAGGCAGTTATGTTTCTTGTTGGTCTTACTGGAACAGAAAGACAATATCACGACTTAGACGAATGGGCCTCACACAACTCATTCAGCGAACGCCTTATCCACTAGACTGCAGTCACCTACATGTACATCTCTTCCGGCTTATCCCACCCCATACTATACTTAATATGCTGTAAAAAGCATATTGCAAACCCACTAACTCATGCTGTACAGGCCACTATTTATTAATTTGTAAAATCAATATATATTGGAACTGCGGTCCAGGCGCATTGCCACGAATTTTAGTTAGTTTAACAACAACAGCTCTTCAGTGTTTTCTCATAGAGATGCACGATGTGACGATGTACCAGTCTCGACGGTTCTCCCTAACTGCATTTGAACTGTGCTGACGAAAAATGCACGGGTACGAAGTCTCAATAACACATATCTTACAGTAACTGTTGCTTTTAATGCTTAATGTTTATGTACTCAAATACTCTCACACCTTGTGCACTCGACAAACAGCCATTAGACGCCATCAGAAGCATCCATCCAATGCATTTGCATGGAGGTCGGGAGGACAGTTCGGCTCGTGCCTAATTATTACATCACTTTTAAGAATATCATAAATCTAAGGGGACAATTACTGTGACATAGAAACTGATTGCATGCACGATGTGCTAACATATGACTGTTAGGGATTCACGATCAATAGATTTTGTTTGTTATTTAAGCTTACCTCAGCAATATTCCAGCTAGGCGACGGAGGCCTATAAATAATAAGTCTTCACCAAACAGTCCAGTGATTTTATGACACACAATCAACCATGTCACCGAATCAGATCACTGAAACCATTTACCCCAAGTCGCCTCTTACAATGAACATTGGTTTCATGTTTCGACGTTTTTGTTGTAGTACCTTGTGGCTTGGAGGACTTAATAAATTATTGAGTTAGGTTTTACACAATATTGAACTTTAGCAATATTCCAGCTGTATGTCGCCTACGGACACCAGGTTTCGATTCTACAAAGCAATTTAGCGTTACGACCATCAAAAGCCTCCGTTAATTTGAGGAGTTACCGTCATCTTGACCTGACCCAGAAATGGACTTTATACGATGTACCCACGTAGAGAATCGAATGCTGGTCCACCAGACTGATGAGAGAACGCTTTAATTACTAGGCTACCCCATTTTAGGGAATCAGCCCTGCTCCAACAGTCAATAATTTGCATTAATGTTTTTCACTACATGTATTGTCTTTTCTTAAAGACACAGGAACCTCTAAGATGCAGATCATAAATGATTCCTAGGTATCCAGTTTAGGTTCACATAATCATCCTATTGCAAATAAGGTTTTACTTTCTTTTCTCTTTTTCAGAGAGAAAAAAATGCAGGGTCAAAATGCATCATTTCCATGGACGGCAAGACAACCCGCCTGAAAAACCCTGTCAATGGCGAGGTCAAATCGTTCTCATTTGACCAGTCCTACTGGTCCCACGACAGCTTCAAGGAAGACGAGGAGGGGGTATATGAGAGAGAGTCAACTGAATCAAGCTATGCCGACCAGGTGTGTTCATGACACGCCTCTATAGTCTGTATCCACATATGCCATGATTACCACGATTCATCGTATGATAGGGGCGGTGGGGTAGCCTAGTGGTTTAGGCGTTCGCTCGTCACGCTGAAGACCCGGGTTCGATTCCCCACATGGGTACAATGTGTTAAGCCCATTTCTGGTGTCCCCCGCCGTGATATTGTTGGAATATTGCTAAAAGCGGCGTAAAACCAAACTCACTCATCGTATGATACTATCTATTCACTGTGTTACGGATGTCAAAAGCAAACTATTTTCTTAACGCAAAACCATGAATGCAATGATAGGTGCTGACATAGCTGTAACAGATACATTTGGCCTATGTTAAGAATTTGTTTATAGTTTAGAAAATATCGCTACTTGTAAAAACGGTTACGATCTGTACCGAGAGTAACATTTACTGGTCATAGTCCTAACATAAACCTTTGCTTATCTTTTGTTGAGTGGCACTGCTGAGGTTTCTTCCCATTGTGTAACCGACGTATACTTGTTTTCTGGAAGCTTGAGCACGCCAAGATGGCCACGAACACTCCACCAATCCTTTGCAGTCTTTACAAGCTTTACTACTACTTTTTACTAGAATTAATCTGTCATGTTTGTGACCAGAGACGAGTGTTTGAAGACCTGGGCCAGGGGGTGCTGGACAACGCATGGCAGGGCTACAATGCTGCCCTGTTTGCCTACGGCCAGACAGGCTCCGGGAAGAGCTACTCCATGATTGGCTACAACGCCAACAAGGGCATCGTCCCCATCACATGTGGGGAACTGTTCAAGGCCATAGATGACAATAAAGACACCGACAAACAACTTAGGGTATGTCGTTATACTATCAACAGTGAAGTTCATATCTGTTCGCCCCTTTAGATGGTCGCAATTGATTAACAAGAATAGGGAAACATATCTGATAATTTGTTTCTTTGTAAGTGCTTTTATTGGAAAAATGTTATTGGAAAATAGTAATTAATACGTCATATAAACGACTAAATACGATAGGTAGTTTACGGCACACATGGGTTTATAACAGTGGTGTTTTTGTTATACAGGTGTCATTTAGTATGTTGGAAATTTACAACGAACAGGTGCGAGATCTTCTGGCCAAGGGGAAACAGCAGACTGGCGGACTCAAAGTCAGACTGAATCCTAAAATTGGCTTCTATGTTGAAGGACTTAAGGTATATGCCATTCTTACATACTGTTCTTTATATATGTTGTATTATATATATCATTCATGCATGCAAGCTTGGATAGGTCGTCCGCCGAGCTTGCAGTATCGTATGTAAGTCTTCGTCGTGTGTTCCAGAAAGTCCCAGTGAAGAACTACAAGCAAATAGAGAACCTCATGGAACAGGGCACGTATAACAGAACCACCGCCTCAACCAACATGAACGCCACCAGCAGCAGGTCGCATATGGTCATCACCATCAAGTTTGAACAGGTACTTGTAGTTCCTGTAACTCTGGATTGGTAAGATCCGGGCCTGTGAACACCCGAGGTGGTGCATACGTGTACAGAGTATTTTATGACAGTAAATGTTATATTGCCCATCATTCGAACTGTTGGTCCATGGAACTGCTAAACATGTTCCACGGCGGTACACGTAAAACCAGAGACCATATAATAGATTTATGGTCTCTGGTAAAACCGAACGTGTACAGATGAAAACAAAATTTGCATTTAGACAAAATGTTACTGATGCATCAATGGGATGATACTTGTACAATGATACAATGTTTCCCTGAAAGTGAATAACATGTTTCCTGGTGGCTCGCTCTAATTTGGCTGACATGACACTAATTGCTATTCACTATTAGCTATTGTGGCCAAACAGTGAACCGGAGAAGATTAACTTAGATAAGGTTAACATGGAACACAAAATTCTTTGACGTCCTAGTATATATATTTTTTTGTTTTTATCTTAAATTTCTGAGAATGCAATTATTCTTGAAGTTGGTTTACCGTTAAAAATATATGTACATACAATGTCTACTGATAATCTGGCCTTCGGGAATATACAAGATCATATAGAAATACCACCAGGTGCATGAAATTCATGTACGATATTTTGTCATCTAAAATGTCCTGATCAAGCCAATGCCCATGCTTCTTTTGCTTAATAGGTTTTAACTAGCCATCTGTGTAGTCGTCTTGTGAACAACAGCATTCCCTCATTCACTCATTAAAGTTAGCGTTTGCAAACATAATTTCATTGAATTATGCATATTCCAGTGCTATTTAACATGCGTTTAATTTGTTTCGATCTGAAAATGTTGGATCATGCGTAATCGTGATATTATGCTTACATCAGAGGTGCCTTTTGTTAACGAAGATGTTATTTGACTACTTACTTTCACTCATAACCGATCGTTGAGTCATGTGCACTAATACACCAGCAGAGTCGGAGATTGATAATCACTCCAAGTCCACAGCTCACGTATGTAAATATAGACATCAGTCGTCAAACTATTTGACAAGCCTCTGCGTTAATACGATTAATCCCACGCTTTGAATCAATATTGACATGTCGGGCAATATTTAATACAAAATGCAAACTTCTTAGGTATTAATATATTGCTGGGAACATAAATCGTCTGTTTTAGCATGTCGCCACGCTGACTCAATTACGTTCCAACAAGACAAGAGCGTCCTTATCGTGAATGAACTGGCAGACCCGAATATCAGCTTTAAACAAACCATTGTAAAACCCGAATACATTCCAATATATCATTTAGGATTTTAATAACTGTCAGAGATCGTTTTTACTCAAAAGAAATTAAATTACGGCAAGTAATTAACTTGAAACGGTGAACTGTGCAGGAGTCTCGATTACATTAGAATATCCATAAAGGCGCGCATGTGCTAGTCGCAGTTCTGTTTGTTCAGATTTGTTCTGACGACACAAGATTACATTCATGTTTTTATTCAGTCTTTAAGTGTAATTCAATTTAAGATGTTAGCAGTGAATTCCATAACTATAACAACTCATTAGGTGCCCAGCGTCCAGTTGATATAGTGGTTAGAGCGTCCTCCCGGAGAGCGGAAGGCTGCGGGTTCGACCCCGTCATACCAAATAGACGTTGATAAAATATGGTACTTGTTGGTCCCTGCCTGGCTCTCGGCATTAATGGGTACAACAAGGACTGGTCGGCTCGGAGTCTGAGTGGGGTATTCATGCTTAACTGCGGCATGGTCTCTCAGTGAGCTAGTACTATAAAAAAAAACCAACAGCTTAAGTCTGGGCTAGTACAAGCTGCCACACATACACACGCATGCACTTGGTCATATGAGCGAAATATTCTGAAGTACGACGTTATATCACATTTCACCTCACATCACCCAGCGTCCGGTGCTGCGTTTGAGGGGAGGGTGGATGGGGAAGCTGGGCTTGGGTGTCCTTATAGCATTGTTCACCTCTTACATGTGATACTCAAAATAGGTTGAGGATTATTTCATGTTACTGTAGTTAGGCTGTCAAATCTTCTGACTTATCACTAGTAAATCGAGTATATCGTGTCATTACAGATTAAGTGTAGGAATATGAAATAATCCTCAACCTATTTTGAGTATCACATGTACTTGCACGTGTGGGTTATTTAAACTGTTTCAGAAAACAATTAGCCTATTCATAAAATCAGGAAGAAAAAGTTTGAGTCGCGTTACTGTTTATCAGATAACTATTACCAGGAATGTTTCAAGGTCGCTACTTAATTGTTGATTAAAGTGCATTTAACTTTCTATCTGCAGGTATTTCCTAACGCTATGGGCCAAAGCACGACCAAAAGCAGTGAAATCAATCTTGTGGACCTGGCGGGCAGCGAGCGAGCTAACTCCACGGGGGCAACGGGTGATCGGCTGAAGGAAGGCTCGGCCATAAACCAGAGCTTATCGTCTCTTGGCAATGTTATCAGGTACATTCACCAACAATGTGCACCTAGGTAGTCATTTGTCAAGCCTCTGTCTCATTTAATGCAATATAAGTTGAACACTTGGACGTCTTGAAGCACGACAACGAAACCTACTCTCATACTTTCTAATTATTTCTAGTTTTCTGCTATCAATCAATTTTTTTAATGGTATGGTCATTATTTCTGAAAATGACATGTACACATACGTTACTTCATATACTACTCAAACAAAGTTAGGGAACACCCGATTTCTATGTGACTGGAGAAATAAACTCGAATGAAACGTCGGATGTTCCTTAACCTCTTTTGAGAAGTATATATTACTATAACATTACTTCCTGATTTGCCCGGGAGTGGTGGGGTAGCCTAGTGGTTAAAGCTTTCGCTCGTCACGCCGAAGACCCGGGTTCGATTCCCCATGTGGGTACAATGTGTGAAGATCATTGATGGAATATTGCTAAAGGCAGCGTAAAACTAAACTCACTCACACACTCACTCCTGATTTGTACAAATATAAATAGTATTAATATAACATTGACCTGCAATTTCAATTCTCAACCATATATAGCGTATTTACCAACTTTACACCCACGCATATCTTAACACTGTATCTTACCTTAGAATCATAAGGTTTAATCCCTTATTCCTAATTATTTTACACAATGCATTGCAACATTTCTTCAGATCTTGACATTATTCATCATCACAAAGTGTACGTAATAACTTCTATAACCAGCGTCAACACACACTGCGACCAAGGCAAAGTGATATTTTGAATGCTAAATTTAGTGTTTGCATTTTGAAATGTTAGCCAGTCTCACTGTATAATCGACACCTACTGTCTTTTTTATTATAACCGACGAGCTTTAAGAATGTTTATACTTAATTTTAACCAGACACAATCAAGCATTTTTTAATGTCTCGGTGGAATGTCACACAAGGATTAAATCAATGGACACATTTAGCAAGTTTAATAACTGAAGTGTCCCACACAACTGATGCCTCATTACATAAAGCTATCAGTTTGATGATAGATTTCTCAGTCTGAGAAGGTATTTATTGCATATAACACAATATCTAGAGTGGTAAGGACAGCAGGCTGATGAACACAGTACCATTTGAATTCAACACCCTTTGTACGAGCCTTTTAAGGTTCAGTAGTTCGTAAATGTATAGTATAGATTGTCTCATATAACAAGGCGTATAATTTTGTTCTAACCGCATAGGGGCGGTGGGGTAGCCTAGTGGTTAAAGCGTTGGCTCGTCACGCCGAAGACCCGGGTTCGAATCCCCACATGGGTGCAATGTGCGAAGCCCATTTCTGGTGCCCCCTGCCGTGATGTTGCTGGAATATTGCTAAAAGCGGCGTAAAACCAAACTCAGTCAGTCAGTCTAACCGCATAATATTGAAGGTATTATAGAAATGTGAGTGTTCCTAGCGTTCCTTCACGGTTCCTCCTTGCAGTGCCCTCGCTGACCAGGCCATGGGTAAGAAGAAAGTCATGGTTCCCTACAGAGACTCTGTCCTCACCAAGCTGCTGCAGTCGGCGCTCGGGGGCAACAGTAGGACTATCATGGTCAGTACACACGGACAGGCCTACGTGGTCACGTTAAGATGAGATGAGGACTCATCTGCGACTTAAAAAATATTGCTTACGATGTGCTTACATGTGTGTCTGTACGCGTGCGTGGGTGGATGCATACGTGCGTGTGTATGTTCTCGTGTCTCCGATTCAGCATGCATATACTTGTCTAAAGGTGTGAGTGGTTGACATAAAGACGGGTCTCCCTATGTAATTCTGGTTTCACTTTCAGATCGCTGCACTCAGTCCAGCAGATATCAACTATGACGAAACCCTGTCCACACTCAGATATGCAGATAGGTGAGACCCTACACCATGATACGTGACTCTGAATCTTATAGAATCGGAAGTCACTTTCACTACTAGAGGATGTGATTAAATTTTTGTTAACTTGTTTACAGGCATACAATATCCACAAGGCTTCCAGATCTTACAATTAAACAGCGAGAACCGCCAAATGGTAGTGCGGATTCTGTTACCTTATGATTCCCAAGTTGGAACTAATGCAGTAGTTGACCGGGAATCAGTGAGTGAGTTTAGTTTTACACCGCACCCAGCAATATTCCAGCTATATGGCGACGGTCTGTAAATAATCGAGTCTGGACCCGACGATCCAGTGATCAACAGCATGAACATCGATCTACGCAATTGGGATACGATGACATGTGTCAACCCAGTCAGCGAGCCTGACCACCCGATCCCGTAAGTCGCCTCTTACGACAAGCATAGGTTACTGAAGATCAATTCCAACCCGAACCTTCACGGGTCGTCTGTAAAGGAATTATTGTGAGAGACAATCGCCAAATAAATAAATGGAATTCACTTAAACTAAGTTTACTAATTAATACAAAGCACTACAAAGGTATTACAGCTGCAGTGCAAGTTCAAAGACAGTATAATACAAAACTGAAGATCAATTCTATTCACCCGAATCTTCAAGGAGTGAGTCTGTAAAGGAATTTATTGTGAGAGACAAACATTTTAACAATTAAAAATAAACTAAGTTTACTAATTAATTGAGATGTAATTGAAATGAAAAGCAAGCGTTAGCTTCCCGTATATACCCAAGACAAAAAGAAGATTCTACAACTCATTGGTTCAGAATGTAGTGGCAAGACCCACAGGATTGCCCTACCCTGTAGTACCTTCCAGAACTCCGTCTAAATATAGCACATGTCTAAATATGGCACACCACTGCATCTCGCTGACTATCCACATATACAATGTTACATACTTAGAACACTGTTACACAATAACACTGCCACATAACTATACGTTAATCCGAATTGAAAAGAAAAATGTTTGTAGAGCCTACTTGTTTTTCAGGAAATGCCAATACACTGATTGTGCAAAGTATTTTTTTACCATGCATATATCTACGTTTTTTCTTCCATGCACATAACAGCTTCTTTATTTGTAAAAGGTAAAAATGCATGGATGTCGACTTCCTTATTAAGGGGAACACGACTGTCTATTCTTACACCATCATTATTCACCTTTTGAAGGAATGAGAATATACTACTGAATAAATATCCATAAATTCTCAACTTGTATGTGTATCACTTGTAAATGCCATTCAAAGACTTCTTTGTTGTTTATGAAGACAATCATGGCTTTTTTTGCCTCATCATCAGTTAAACACTTAGTAATGATACGAGAAGAAACACTTAAACGTCGTTACAAAAATGTAGTTGTCATTCATGAAAGTGTCCTGTATTCTTGTTCTGATTTTAGCAGACTTGTTGATTTTTATCATTACCAATATAAACAGAGCCAAGAAGATCCAGAACAAAGCTGTAGTCAACGAGAGTCCCACGGACCGTCTCATACGAGAACTGAAGGAAGAGAACGCAAAGCTAATGGCCATGCTGGGCGGCAAGGGGGCCAAACCTGGAGGTATTTATTATCTTTGATTACATACATACATACATACATGCATACATGCATACATACATACATACATACACACATACATACATACATACATACATACATACACACACACACGCACACACACACACGCACACACACACACACACATACATACATACATACATACATACATATATATATATACACACACCAGGGGCGTAGGAACGGTTTTCAGAGCGGGAGGGCTAATTTATGAAAAGTATTGAAAATCAAAATGAAATTGTAGTTATAGTAAGGTAGATATGGTTTCGTCTTTAAAAAAGCTCCCCTACCCCGTTCCTACGCCCCTGTACATTCACACACACACATAAGCACTCACGCACGCGCGTTCTCTCTGCATCCACGAAGTTGTAGTAAACAAGAAATCATCGATTTTGTGTCTTTCTTGAAATCATTTTCCACCAAAGGAAAGTAGATAAATATGTCTGAGGGTTCTGACTTTCGAAATCACAGGAGACACATTCTGCACATGTACGTTCAAAGGAATTGACAGAATAAAATGTATTGTCAACACTTGGAGGTATGGCAGGTATCGTAAACAAGTGATCAGTGACTGAGACTATACGTGTAATAAGTGTGGTTGGTGTGATCTGTGACAGCGGACACCAACCTCCTGGAGCAGCAGCTGCAGGAGAACCAGCGGAAGATGTCGGAAATGCAGCAGTCGTGGGAACAAAGACTGGAGGAGGCCAGGTTAGTACAGAACATCCTCTGTATCACACTTAGATACACTACTCAAAAGACGTCGAGGATCATCAGTTGTTTCGTGGTTTATCTTCAGTCATATGAAAAGATCGGATGTTCAGTACCTTTTCTGATATAGAACGTGATAGATGCCTGTTTCATGTACTTCAAATCTTATGGCATGTTATGCCGGTAAAGCATTTATTATTTATACAAGACAAATCTTATGGATAACAACTTCTTGATTATTTTCCACAACATTTCTGGGCTATAGTTCTTGCCTCCTCATCAGCAAGAACTAGCCCTGAAACGTTGTGGAAAATAAATCAAGAAGTTGTTATCCATAACATTTGTCTTGTATTACTACACCAACGTTTAAATGCCTTTGACGAATTTTTATTTATTATTCAATTGGTTGTTTTCAGACGAGATTGGGAGAAGGAGTTCCGCAGTACCGGCCGTAACGAGTGGGAAAACCATCCCCATCTGATGAACGTGAATGAAGACCCGCAGCTGACAGGCGTGGTCAAACACGCACTTGTGGAAGGTCAGTATCTATTTCTAACCTTTCCTTCGTATTCCTGAGATATCCACGCTTACTGGAATAAGTCCCCTTTTCTACCCCTTGGCTCTATCAGTTAGATTACATCCAGATCTCTTGTCTGTTTGCAGTGAAAACGTACCGATGAATTTCACTTTAAGCAAAAAAGTTAATCACATAAAGTGAAATTAAGATTGCGAATCCTCATAATTTTACCTTGCCAACTGAACATTTAAGTATCAGAATTTTATTTAACTTAGGATGAAAGTTGTTTGTATTACAAGGGGGTAAGCGCAGCAGTTGGAACAGTGAAACAAATGCACGTGCGGTGCGTTATGAGCGTTAACTTAGACTACCGTAGAAACCAACCCTTCTTGTCCTCGGGGTTTCATTTAATGTGCATACCCCCTTGTAATACAAACCAATAATAGCGATTTGAAACTATGGTCATTTGTTAAACAACTTTAATCCTATGTGGAATAAAATTCTGAGATTTTAATTTTCAATTGGCAAGGTAAAGTTATGAGGATTCCCAATCTTAATTTCACTTTATTTGATTTACTTTTTTGTTTAAAGTGAAATTCATCGGTGCGTTTTCACTGCAAACAGACTATAGCAACGATGGGACGTAAGTTTAACCGGAGCAGATTTGATTAGGTAACGACCTTTGCAAACATAGTGGCAAATAAACTGTTGGGCGAAAAGAAAGTGTGCAAATGAAATTTGGATTTGATCAAAGAATTAACATCTTTGTTGACCTAATACTCATGTGAATTGACTGTCACAATTGTATTATACAATAGTTTGGTTTTCTTCATTTTCATTTGGTAAACTATATTCAATGTATTTGTTTCCAGGCTCGACAACAATAGGAAAATCCGGGGATCCCGAGATAAATATAGCCCTGAAAGGACTCGGGTAATTGATGTTTTGTTATGATGCATTAACGATTCTGGGGAAATTTCGATTAAGAATAATTGTTCCAGAAGATGCTTAGAATTATTATACAAAAGACATTGATGGAAGATATTTAAAATGATACATATTTAGGCTCATAGTGTTAATTCAAAATAATTAATATTATCCTTAGAAAAATCAAATGGTCGGTCCCTTTCATGCAAATTGAACTGGACATTTAGTTTCAAAGAACTGTTGAAATGGATAATGGAGGGAACGCTTTCACGTTTGATTTGGGTTCGGTTGCATTAAAGATGGACAATGTCCAGTTATTATGTAATAAATGAATGGTGTGAACCTTTTAATAGTCGTTTTATAATTACTAATACACTTGAAAACAATGCGCCGGGGCTGCCGATTGGTCCATGCTTAGTCCTCTTTACATTCGTAGCTAGTTATTCTTTGATGGAAACTGACATGAACCCAAATTCACATGTCATCAATTACGTTTAACGGGACTTGTTTTCTTCAAACATAGAATTCAGAAACTCCACGCAATCGTTGAAAATGACGGCAGATCCGTATGGATCAAACCCTGCGCTGCCCATGCACAAGTTCTCGTCAACGGGTCAAAGATCAAACAAAAACATGAACTACGTCATATGGTGAGTATGAGAAAACAACGTTACATTTCCTATCTTCGATAGTTCTATACCCTCATATTTAGCAGCATGGGTTTCACCGGCGAACATGTCAACGTGTCTTATACAGGCATCCGTTGATCCACCACATATTAAAACAACCAACCACAACGACCTATACAATGACTGACTGACTGAGTTTGGTTTTACGCCGCTTTTAGCAATATTCCAGCAACATCACGGCGGGGGACACCAGAAATGGGCTTCACACATTGTACCCATGTGGGGATTCGAACCCGGGTCTTCGACCTGGCGAACCAACGCTTTAACTACTAGGCTACCCCACCGCCCCCCTATACAATGAACATACAACGTAAAGATCACTAACGTCGTGGAAAGTAGTTTCCACAGTTTTGAACTTTGTCTCTTTGTCGCACACCGTACTTATTACTTACCTTTTCAATCAATTAAATACTTTTGATTGAAATTATATTGGTAGTGTGAGTCAGAGAATACTGTTTAACTGTTTAGCTACTTCACAAGGCCTTTAGATAACCGAGTCTGAACCAGGAAAACCCATGACTGAAAGGATGACCAACCATACACGCTATCGGGTAGACTAAGGCTTAGTCTCTGAATATATATAATTTTGATAGTAACAAACAAGCCCATTTAAATTGAAAAGGAGCCCTAGGGAGACCAGAGAGTCAGAGCCTGGGGAAATCTAGACTTGCTTCGTTTAGAGCTTTAGCACTACAGGGAAGGCTAGGCTGTAGGGAAAATAATGTGGTTCAGGGACTGTGAGACAGACTAGCTATCGGGGTGGAATGACACGCGGCCTGTCTACCCGATCATATCCTTTTCATCCGACGATTAAGAGATGTCATTTCTACCCCGGCACCATCATGGTAACGCATTAGCATTCTCCGCACATCGTCACTTACCTGTTCGGCAGAGGAAGCCTGTTGTCAAGTCGCACGATGAAACTAAGATATACTAGTATGTTTTTTTGTCTTCAGGACCGGGTTAAGCTTGGGTCAAGTAGCCTGTTTCTGTATATCGGCTACCAAGAGGACAGATCCGACTCGGACCAAGTGGACAAGTACAACTTCGACTACTTCATAACGGAATTAGCTGAACATGAAGGTATTGCGGTCGAACTACACACGCCACGTGACTTCGACACAGAGGAGGATCAGGTGACCGCTGTTGTGTATCAAGAGTATGTCGATCTGATGCCGGTTATTGCCGAAGCAAACGCTATCAGCGAAGAGTTGAATAAGGTTGGTATACATAATTTTACATCATGTTGTATCTGTGTGTTATATCATGTTGTGCTGATTCATTCACCGTTGTTCTGTTCGATAAGATTAGTATATGTGTTTGAGCTATTACATCCATAGCACAATTATTCTGTACTTGATATCACCATCATTAAATAGTGATTCATGATATATGCCCATGATATATATACCGGGTAGTCGAAATTGTAAATCGACTTTGTTTTATCAGCTATATCCCGATGATTGTGGAAAGGATTTTGTTCGCTTATATTTACTGAATGATCACGGAAGCTATTCATTTTTCAGAAATTAAAGTTTGAGCCTGAAGTAAAAAGTCAATCTAGTCATGACACTAAGGCCAAGGCCAAGGAGAAGGAGATCATCGTCCGAGTTACTAATGTCCTCACGAAGAAGGTTGGTAGTAAACGCTGAACATGGTTTCAAAACTTAGTAGTTAAGTTGTGAATTACAAACCATTAAATTTCATACATATTTCCCTCTTACTCCAAAGCCCTGGGTCCTCGCACTGTCAATGTCTTGTTTCTCAGTTATTTTAAGCAAGTGTGTTTGGTTTAACACCACTTTACACAGTATTCCAGTTATATCACAGTATGTCAGGTCTTTTTTTCTTGGGAAAAATACGACATTGGTGAAATCCTCAAGTACGGTAGTGATGCTGAAACACCAAGTAACATTAACCTGGCGAACCGCGATTTGAACCCACAACCACAGCATGCTCAAGGGACCCAACTCTGGGCCACCCGTGACCTGTTTGATAGCCAAAAGCTATTACAAAGCTAGTACATTGCTGATTGCAGCGTTAAACTGTATTCCCTCACCATCCTCCATCCCTATTTCAACATGATTCTATGTACCAATCTGGGAAAAGGGTTGTCTTGTTGTTCAAGCTGCCGTTTGTAACGCAGGTGATGGCCAAATGTCATCTTACAATACAATGTACCATCTTTCTCATTTTGTTTCCCGTCGTGATAATGCTGGTATGGAAAAAGAGTATGCGACTAACCCACATCCTCCTTATATTTATGAAGTAATTTCTCCATGTTAAACTAGGTTTGGATCTGGTCAAAAAGCAAGTTTCTTCACCGGAAGCTCATCATGAATGGTCTGTACACGCAGTTTATGGACCACGGTGAAGTGACAGTCTCTAAGGATCAGGATCCTTTCTGGGACCCCGTCGAACCCATCTTTTTGGGAAGGTAAGCAAAAGGAACATACACCGATTTACGTACGTGAATGGATGTAGCGAACCGTTTCAACGGACGCAAAGCGTCGATTCGCTCTGTTTTTGCAATAAAGATTGTTTGTTTGTTATTTAACGCTGTACTCAACAATATTCCATCTATATGGAGGCGGTCTGTAAATCATCAAATCTCGACCAGACAATCCGGTGATCAACAGCATGAGCATCGATCTACGCAGATTGGGATACGATGACATGTGACACATTGGCGGATCCAGAGGCGGGGTTCAGGGGGTTCGAAACCCCACCCCACCCCATCCCCATTTGAAAATGACTATAGACCAAATAAAAGTTAATGGTTTGCATTGGCGGAGCGAAGAGGGGTTCGAAGACACCCCATCCCCTCCCTTGAAGATTCCTGGATCAGCCTATGTGTGTCAACCTGAACGCGTTAGTCGCCTCTTACTGCAAAGATGGGTTGCTGAAGACCAATCCTAACCTGGATCTTCACGGGTTTACAATAAATAAAGAAAACCATAGCTTTTCTGGTTATACCCAAAAGGTTACCTGTTACAGATCCGATTCCAGTTAAGGGACAACCGGGTGGCGTGTCAGGCTAAAGATAATGATCATTTCTCGACACTGTCACAGTGTGTACGGCGGTGGAGTTGCTTAGGGATTAAAGCATTCGTTCATGACTAAGGAGACCCGGGTTCGATCACTCATTCACGACCCGTACAGGTCATATTTCGTGCCCCCCACGGTGATATGACTGAACCTGACTGACGAAAGCCAAACCCCACCCACCAACTCTGCCTTTCTACCGCTATAATACACAAATTTCTATGCATGTTATATGGGCATGAAGCCTAAAAAATTGAATAAATTCTGTCTATCCTGTGGACTTAAGGGTTATTCTGATGTCGTGTTGGGGAGACTGGTATTGTGACAGCTATGATTGCTTATCATATTGCAGCTGCCACGTGTGGCTGAAGATGTTGGCCTACAGCGATGAGATAGATGAACACTTCACCGTACACAACTACCACGGCAAGGAAGAGGCCGTTGTGCATGTACAGCTCCTGCCCTGCGACAAGGATGGGGTCCAGCTACAGGGAGAATCCATGGTGTTCGAACCGGAAGACCTCAAAGACAAAGCATTCAATTTTTTGCTGAAGGTGCCAAGCTGCATGAGTGTTCGATGGACGAGGGAGGACCCGACGAGAGGCGTTATGTGCAAGTGAGTTTCCCAGAATCACACACACTTCTGAACAATGTCAAATGTCATGCGTTCCATAGAAGATTGTTTGCCAAATATGAATATGTGAAGTAATTTGATAATGCATATAACCGTACAGTTAAAAGTTGTTTTCGACATTTCGATTTTTTTTGCAAAATACCATGAGACGTACATCTTGTGAAATTCGGGTTTTGACTGAAAAATATGAAAAGCAGAAATTTATAGAATTCAGCATGGTGAACTGAGCATCTTCTATGTCAAATGGTTATAGTATCGCCTTAAATATCGAGGTAGGATTTTTTGTCAGATCATGTGACATGAGGTTAAATGGTATACATTGTACTCGCTTTGAGCGGACGAGTCCTTTTAGAGCATCAGACAAGGTCCTTTAACGTCGTTTCGTTTGATGTTTCCGGGCAGTGGAGACGGTCTCGCAAATTAGAAAGGAAGTTCGCTTTCTAAGATGTCTGCAGAATGCCTTTGCGATGCAATAACATGATATAAAGCCATACATGAATGTAATACAATATCTTACATGTTATTCCACCAGACTGAGGTTCTTCGAGGAGAATGAGCCGCTGTGTTCTCAAGTGGTGTGGAGTTCCTCGGTGGCCAATGTAGACTACCAGAAACTCTTCTCCTACAAGAACATGCCCATGTCGCTTCTTCAGTATTTACAGAGAGAGTCCCTGGTGGTGGAGCTGTGGGGTACACAGGGTATGTAAACTGTCGTGATTCTTTGCATAACCTGTGGTTTCCAGGAGAGCCAGTAACCAATGTTTGTCATAAGCGGCGACTAAATATCGACTTAGTTCGGTGCCCACGGTATCAATCACGGAATTGTTTTGACCAGTCTCGAAAATTTACAGACCGCCGTCGTATATCTCCATATAAGTTCAGCGTTAAACAACGAACCAACACAAAACAATCACTGGTTTGTCTGGTTCAGACTCACCTGGGGAAGCCTGGTCAGAATAAGTCCCAGCAACCCAGCTAGAGGTCAGGTGGCAGTATGGATCTGTGACTTCAGATTTCCTCTCGTTGTGCCCTCATGGCAGGGACTGTTAATCATATTGCTGACGTTCATGACATATTCTCCTTCTTTTCAGAAAGAACACTAACTGTAAACTGGTAGCATTTCAGTATGTATTAATAAACCCAGGCGAATGTGTTTTTTCTTGCTAAACGTTGGCTTGTATTGACCGGAGGTTCCTAATTTTTCACCTGATTACTCCTTGCAGGTTCAAAGGAAGTTCGACATACAAATGGTATTCAGGAAAATGGAAACGTAAGCTACCATCACCCAAGGATGTCAGTTCTTCACACACTGAAACACAGCTATATTTTGTCAAGATTGTGATTTTATTGTATAAATATTGGCCTGAATGTATTCATGCATTCATCCACACAGGACTGTGGTCTTGTCACGTTTCTTACAAAATTTTGATACTACTGTACTATATAGGCGCGCAAGAAACAGTATACACTCATACTTGATGTTGTCTTAAAAATGAAACCAACAAAACGGTATTTGTAGTATTGAATTGATAGGGTTATTATATTTATGTTTTTGACGTGTATGTGTTTTCAGTCTATTAGGTTTTGATAAAGTTTGCAATCGTTTGATCAAATCCAGTTGTTAAGTGTATACTTTCTTTTGCCGCCTTAATAGTTTTACTAATGACAAGTTATAAACGGTGGTTGGAACGTTTTCATCTAACTCTCTAGTCTCTCCCTTTCTAATACAGCGGAATCAGCATTTAACAGCTCTAACTAACAAACTGGATCAACTGGTATGTGGTCTATCACTTCATTGTAACGTAAACATTAGATTGCTAACAGTATTTCTTGGTTACGGGATGCCTAGGAGTATGTCGTTCTCATATACATTCTGTGGCTGTGGGTATATGTAAAGTTTGTTTTTCACAATAAGGAACTCTAATAAACGAATGTGTTCTCTTCTCGTTTTATACATGCTAGCTAGAAGAAGATGATGTCCCTTTGTGGCGAAACGTGTTCTAGCCAATCATACATTATATTTATCCGATTTTAGGCTCCAGTACATAACTCTCAAAACTTGATATACTGCAGCGCGGTAAAACGGTGAACTAAACCACATTTGTGAACACATTTGTAACATAGATATTTTAGATCACTCCTCCTTATCCAAACGATGTCTTCCAAATGTATATTAAAACAATTGGGTAATTGTAGTCTGTAGTCTCAATTACCCATCACTTGAAAATACCAATACCAACAGAATGAGAGTCCTTACGGAGGTCACGTCAAGCAGTCGCAGAACAAATGTATGGTTCAACACAGTGAAAACATGTATATTTAAATATATCTATTTAAAATGGTGAACATCTAAGATGTGGGCAATAATGGGTATTTATTATAAACTATCAGATAGCTATCCACGTATTTGAATGAAACTGAGTATAGAAAAGGTCAATATTTTGGAATATCAATATTTATGGCTTTTCAGAACACACAGCTTGAAAAGCTTGATGATGAGAGGGCCAATTTAAAGAAAGAGAATTTTAAGCTGAAAACGGAGTTAGAGCGACAGAAAGAGGCAGTGAAATTAGCTCGTGTTGGGAGAGGTAAGTCCATCCTGGTTTCAGATGTTGTCTTCTGTCATATTTGTTTCTGGTTTAATATCGTACTCAAAAACATATCCATGCTATATGACGGCAATCTTGAAATGATCAGGAACAGACAATCCAGTGAACACCTACTCAAAAAGACTTCGATGACACTGACCTTCTGTGTTGGCTATGAATATAATTCATAGCAGATTACATGAAAGCCAGATACACGCGTGGTGTGATAGTGACAAATTCTAGAACTACATAAGAGTGTGTCTCCAGAAGCCTATTCTTGTCACAAGAGTCGCTTATTTAGATAAGGTTCGGTGACTTGGGCTTACGTGTGGCCGTATGGTCGTATGGTCGTATGGTCGTATGCGAATTCCGTGGAGCAAGGTCCATGATGCCAGTCACAGATTTTCTTGGTTCAGACTCGATTATTACAGATACTCGTCATATAGATGGGATATTACCCTAAAACAATAAAACATCCCGTCTAAAGTGAGACATTTCGCTTTTAATCCGCATTGCCAATTTGTATTTCCCCCACAACAGGAAGCTTCAATGAGATCCCAGCATCGGTACTTTCTTCCATCAATTCATCCAGTTCGACGACAGTACCGAAGACACACACGGTTGGCCTGGACGTGGAGCTCGCCAAGAGCATCAAGTCTTTCTTCCAGGATATGAGGAGTGTTCAACAGCAGATCAAGGACATGAAAACTGCAGGTAGTTATTTATATTCCATATGTTTAGTGAGTAACTGCCAGCAATAATGACAGAGGAGTGCACTATCTGCACAGGGCCAGTCAAAACAGAGGCGTACAGCATACGTATCAATACATGTTGTCTTGGTAGGTAACACAATAGCCAAGTTACACATTTCTCGTTTGAGTGGGTGCTTACCTCAAGTATCTGATACATGGGACCTCTTCTGTCCTAACACAGTCCTAGTACATGTACAGCCATCAATCTATGACCTCCCATATTCACAGTACACGTATAGCCATCACGATATGACCTCCCACATTCACAGATCATGTATAGCCATCAAGATATGACCTCCCACATTCACAGACCTCCCACATTCATAAAACATGTATAGCCATCAAGATATGACCTCCCACATTCACAGTACACGTATAGCCATCATGATATGACCTCCCAGATTCACAGTACACGTATAGCCATCACGATATGACCTCCCACATTCACAGTACATGTATAGCCATCAAGATATGACCTCCTACATTCATGTATAGCCATCATGATATGACCTCATCATGATATGACCTCCCACAGTACACGTATAGCCATCAAGATATGACCTCCCACATTCACAGTACATGTATAGCCATCAAGATATGACCTCCCACATTCACAGTACACGTATAGCCATCAAGATATGACCTCCCACATTCACAGTACATGTATAGCCATCAAGATATGATCTCACACATTCACAGACCTCCCACATTCACAGTAAACACGTATAGCCATCAAGATATGACCTCCTACATTCACAGTACACGTATAGCCATCAAAATATGACCTCCCACATCACAGTACATGTACAGCATCAAGATATGATCAAGATATGATATGACCTCCCACATTCACAGTACATGACCTCCCACATAGCCATCATCAAGATATGACCTCCCACATTCCAGTACACATTCATCAAGATATGACCTCCTACATTCACACGTATAGTCAAGATAGCCATCAAGATATGACCTCCCACATTCACAGTACATGTATAGCCATCAAGATATGACCTCCCACATTCACAGTACACGTATAGCCATCAAGATATGACCTCCCACATTCACAGTACATGTATAGCCATCAAGATATGACCTCCCACATTCACAGTACACGTATAGCCATCAAGATATGACCTCCCACATTCACAGTACACGTATATGTATATAGCCATCAAGATATGACCTCCTACATTCACAGTACACGTATAGCCATCAAGATATGACCTCCCACATTCACAGTACATGTATAGCCATCAAGATATGACCTCCCACATTCACAGTACATGTATAGCCATCAAGATATGACCTCCAGTACACATTCACACAGTACACGTATAGCCATCAAGATATGACCTCCCACATTCACAGTACATGTATAGCCATCAAGATATGACCTCCCACATTCACAGTACATGTATAGCCATCAAGATATGACCTCCCACATTCACAGTACATGTATAGCCATCAAGATATGACCTCCTACATTCACAGTACATGTATAGCCATCAAGATATGATATGACCTCCCACATTCACAGTACACATAGCCATCAAGATATGACCTCCCACATTCACAGTACATGTATAGCCATATAGACCTCCTACATTCAAGATATGACCTCCTACATTCACAGTACACGTATAGCCATCAAGATATGACCTCCCACATTCACAGTACATGTATAGCCATCAAGATATGACCTCCCACATTCATGTATACATAGCCAAGATATGACCTCCCACATTACATTCGTATAGCCATCAAGATATGACCTCCATTCACATTAGCCATCAAGATATGACCTCCCACATTCACAGTACATGTATAGCCATCAAGATATGACCTCCCACATTCACAGTACACGTATAGCCATCAAGATATGACCTCCCACATTCACAGTACATGTATAGCCATCAAGATATGACCTCCTACATTCACAGTACATGTATAGCCATCAAGATATGACCTCCTACATTCACAGTACACGTATAGCCATCAAGATATGACCTCCCACATTCACAGTACATGTATAGCCATCAAGATATGACCTCCCACATTCACAGTACATGTATACAACATGTATAGCCATCAAGATATGACCTCCCACATTCACAGTACATGTATAGCCATCAAGATATGACCTCCCACATTCACAGTACACGTATAGCCATCAAGATATGACCTCCCACATTCACAGTACACGTATAGCCATCAAGATATGAGCCATCATGTATAGCCATCAAGATATGACCTCCCTCACAGTACATTCATCAAGATATGACCTCCCACATTCACAGATCATGTATAGCCATCAAGATATGACCTCCCACATTCACAGACCTCCCACATTCATAAAACATGTATAGCCATCAAGATATGACCTCCCACATTCACAGACCTCCCACATTCATAAAACATGTATAGCCATCAAGATATGACCTCCCACATTCACAGACCTCCCACATTCATAAAACATGTATAGCCATCAAGATATGACCTCCCACATTCACAGACCTCCCACATTCATAAAACATGTATGAGTCTAAGTCACATGTTGCGCACTTGTCTCAAACGGCGATCAGGATGTAAAACTACAGGAAACCACGGGTGTAGCGAGAGCTGACGGATATTAGGAACAGTTTGGATTTTGGGGATTTGTATTATTATTTTTGTGTGTACTGGGTATGTTTCTCTTCATTACATCATGTGTTTCTTGTCTGGTTGGCAGTCACCACAGTCCAGTCCAGTAATGTCCAGAACGGTAACCTGAAGGCAGCCTTACAACAACAGAGCGAGAACCTAGTGAAAACTGAAAACCAGATCAACTTGTGCCTCAAGAATCTGAAACAAAGTGTGGTCAGCACCATAAAAAAATCCAAAGATTCGTGACGACGCTTGTTCCAGGACAATAATGAAACAGCATTACGTTAACCATAGAGCAGAGTCTTACAGAAGAGAAGACATGTCAGAGGAACACATTCGTGGTGTATAACGCAGTGCAATGGTGTGCCAGTTTTGAGTTGCTCTTTTAATACCAGTTCCACTGGGTAACATTTATTGACTATCTACTATTGAACCCACATATGTCAGTGCAGGTAACTGATATGTGCGGACATACACACCCGTGTGGTTTCTTGACTATATATTGCTATTACCAGCTTGCTTCATTTCGAGATGTATGATTTGACTATCTGAGCTACGTCCAGGATGTCCACAAAATAAAATGCATTGATTTATTAATCACACTTTATAATAACAGATGACAAACGGCTAACGTTGCATAAACAAATGGACACAGTTCCATCGAGCGATTTCAGCGCTAAAGCGATAATAACTCCTATACCTTAACATAGGATTGCTCTAGTCGTAGCTCTCCATTTGCTTTGTGGAACGTGGCCTTCAAGGGTGAATTAAGATGTACATATTCTCACCAGGGATGTATGCACCCCTGAAACATGACTTGAACGCCAGTTGGACCCTTGTAACATTTTCAGGTATAAAGTATGTGAGAATGAGTGAGTGCGTGAGTGAGTATGGTTTATGTCGCTTTTAGCAATTCTACAACACTATCGCGGTGGGGGGCACCTGTAATGCATTGCGAGGTTTCCTCAGATCTTCACACAGAAGTCTGGTATCGGATTAAGAGATGTTACTTTAACTAGATTGACGCTCCATCTACAATGCTGCCCACCTCACTTGTATAAAGGTTAATTTTAATTGTTGAATATGATTATTTATATGTTTGACCAAATGACATTTTTGGGTTTGGATTGGATACTTTAAGCTTTGGTTTATATTGACAGCAAATGGCAATAAAACAAATTGTGCAATAAGAAACACCTTGTTGATGTCTTTTGTTGATTTCTAGCATTCACAGTGCAAATTGGTCTTCCACTCTTCTGCCCTGCCTACATTTCAAGTCGAGATGTGCTGGTTTTATTTTTTTTAAACATCTGGCAGATTGGAAAAATATATTCAAGTGGCGGAATACAAATAGTATATCTTCAAATTGGCGGGTCAAAAATAACGTCTTCTGGTAGGGGAGATTTTAAAAAATCCCTAATACCTTCTATTTGAAGGATAACACTGGCTAATTTCTTCTTGTAGGTGAAAAGAAGAAACTAATATCTGTAAGTTGTTAATATAAGAAAATTACATTCTCTTGTTGATATACAAAATTACATTGCGATACAATACGGTAAAACTCTGAATCTGTACGTTCGTTCTATACTAAAGTGACAACTGAAGATCCTTCTGAGATGAAACAAAACTCCCGTTACTGAAACGTACTGACATTCATGTTGATTGTTTAAGGTTATATATTCAATGAACAATATTATTTTCAGCACTTAATACCTCGGCACTCACACAGTGATAAATGGCATATTTGGATAGTCACGATTAGGTCCACTGGGTACAAAAGAGACAAGACAGACACATCTACGCTTCAATAAGCTGTAAGCTGTTCAGTAATGTTGTCACACTGCTTGCGTTCTGACACATGTCACAGAAATAAATGTGTTTGGAGGACGGAGCCCCTTACAACATATTAACATTGCTTGAAGATAACTGGGTTACAACATGACGCATGCTTTGGTCGGGGGACTAGTCACATCATTAAAAACACTTTCATAGGCTGGCTTCTCAGAAAAAAATTCCAGCAGTTCACACTTCATAGATAACAATCGTCACCTTTTTATTCAAAACAAAGAAAAAATCGAAAGCATAAACAGTTAGGAAAGTGACTAAAAAGAAAATCGCGTGACAAATTGTTTTCAGTGTTGTACTTATTCAAGAACGTTCAAACAACAGAATGTGAAGCGAGTTAAACATCCCTTTGAACAGTATATATACTCTCCAAAAAAAGAAACGCATCATGTTACAAAAGGTTTTGCTCTGTTTATGAGTCCTATGGTGTTTATGTTTTGAAACATCACAACAAAACGCACCATCCGTAAAATACCCGTATTTAACAGCATGATTTTCAATTTCGGCGTGTAGTGTCACAGAATACACAATTCACATGCAATGCACGTGAAAGTTGGGGATCAGATAGTCTCAATGATGGGTATAAAAGGTTGATCGCTGTCTGTCGATTATGTACTGTATTTGGAATATTGTTGACGAACGCAAAATGCCACGTCTAAGTGAAGCCAACCGTCATATCGCCATTGGTTTGCTTGAAGCTGGCCAGTCTCAACGTGCAGTTGCCCGACCAGTACCGCTCGACAAATACCCGGATTGAGGAGGCTTTCTGCACAGACCGTCAGGAACAGGTTGAGAGGCTGGTTTACGTGCCAGAAGACCTTATTTTGGCCCTGTGCTTCGACAGCAACATCGTCGACATCGAGTTCAATGGTGCACCAACGTTCAGGCCTGGAACCTACCGAAATGGCGTAGAATCTGGTTCAGTGATGAATCACGATTTCTAGTGGAACAACGCAATGAAAGAATGCGGGTGTACAGACGTCGACGTGAACGTTTCGCCGACGCTTGCGTTCTCCAGGTGGATAGATTCGGCCGGGAAGTGTTATGATGTGGGGAGCGATCACCTGCCGTAGGAGAAGTGATTTTGTGATGATCCAGGGCAACCTGACAGCTCAACGGTACTGTCACGAAATCCTACGCCCACACCTCCATCCAATCATTGATCGCCAGAGGGAGTTGTTTCAACAGGACAATGCCAGACCCCACACAGTAAGTCACACTAGAGACTTCCTCCAGAGCCACAACATCAATGTGCTCCCCTGGCCCCCAAGATCAAAGGACTTAAACCCGATCGAACATCTGTGGGATGCCCTGGACAGACGGGTGCGACGCCGTAACCCTCAGCCCCAGACACTTCAGCAACTCGCACAGGCACTACAGGCAGAGTGGGCTGCGATTGGGCAACACGAGATTCTGAGACTTATTCGTTCGATGCCAAGGCGATGCCGTGCAGTTCTGGATGCCCACGGTGGTCACACGAGGTATTGACTTCAGCGCCACCACACGTCTCCATGTGACACTCAAACTGACTTTCCTCGAGTTGGTGCCAAAGACGGATAAGTCTGCATTCCCAGTGTGCAATTTCGCTATATTTCATTGACTCATAAAGCCTACAAGATGTTTCAAAGTAAAAGTAAACATACAGTTGAAATTCCTATATGCGTTTCTTTTTTGGGAGAGTATATGACAAAAACACGATGCATATACAATCCCGTCAAAAGATGTTAAACGACACCCCATTTTTCAAATGCACATGTAGGTACCATAATTGAAGACCAGTATTTATCAGTACGTTTTGTTCTCTTTTGTTTCGGATACAATGCACACTTCAATGGTTTATTTACCAGTTGCTTGGTTTGAGGGCGGTTAGTATACAGAACACTTTCTGTTTTAATTCTTGAGAGGTCATCATCTGCTGAATGAAACAGTAACACATGAGTGAATGGCCTGTTTATGAGCTGTGAGAGTGTGAATATAGTTTTATGCCGCAAATGAAACATGTCAGAAGTATCACGGCGCGAAACATCAGCACTGGCCTCAATGTACTGCACGTTTCGACACCGCGACATAAGACAAACGACGTGTTTGGTTCATGGTGTTCACTGTGAGCGGTTTGTACGACATGGGTCGGGTAGGAAGGGGCCATTCACGCACATGTAAGGGTAAAAATCTGTATGTGAAACTGTGGCAATAAGTTGGCGACATGATGCTGGAGGACACAAGCGTAAGAGTAATAGATGGTCAAAAGACCGTGAGACGTACCCTAATATAAACACGAATGAGTCAGCAGTAACGACAGTGTCACACCCACCACAGGCCGCTTTAAGGCGCTTTTGGCATGTGTCTGATTGCCAAAAACCTATTCGTTCAGGAAAGGTATGCTTTCAACAGTCTTTTGACTGAAGAGTCAAACTTTCAACACTCACCATGTTCATTAACTTGCCATTCCAGAGGGTCAACTTTGGCAAATCTGCGGTCTCTCCATGGATCTGTAGATGCTGGTTACATGGGCTAAGGTGCAGTTTGGTCGATCAACTCCCAAACGTATCTGACAGCAAGTCATATCAGCACATTGTGGGAAGAAAGCCAGTAGTGTGAACATGTACAGATTCGTAAATAATGTAACGTTTACAGAAAGAGGGAATGTCTAGAATCACACCAGTGATCGATTCAATCATCCGTACACGTTTTTTCCCCGATGCATCGAAACTACAGTGTTAAAGTTACATTGAGCAGGCCCTATGACACACTTGTGCGGATCCTTGCTGAGGTTGTAACGCCTCTGACACTCTTCAAACAACACGGGTCGGGTGTTTAAATTATCGCAGTACAACTATGTGAGCTGGAAGGACAGTTTACACAGTCCGACAGGTTACTACCATCTTTGAGTGGCATTTTAGAAGTTGGGAAGTACAATATAGAACGAACTTTATGGATAACAACTTTTTAGTCGTGAGTGCGACGTTTCGATACATTTTCTTGTATCGTTGTCAAGCAGGAATGACAACGGCACAAGAATTATAAGCCAGGGGAAGGCAGCGAAGTCAGGCTGACACATGGGCTAACCAGTGTTCGTCCCTTCGTGTTCCTGGCTTGCCTTTTTGCTGGTCTGTCCGGCACTCATCCCGCTGTCTGTTGGATCCTGCTGCTTGCCTATCCTGTCTGTTTTACAGACAGACAGACATTTTATTCAGTAATAGGCCACTGGCCCAAAATACATTCATAAATATAATAAGAAGTTACATGCGTTTTACCAGGGAGACTATATAATGTTGTAGATTATCCCTGGTTTTACATAAAAACATCAGAATCTCTTATTTTCCCAACATTATATAAAAATAGGCACAAATTATTTATAACATTTATGTTTTTTGAAGTCATTATGTTTATAAAACTGTGTTGTGAAATAGGATGTTTCAAATATTTACCCAGAAACTTATTCGTTATATCTAAGTAGGCTTTACAATAAAGTAAAACATGTATTTCATCTTCAATTAAATTAAGATTATTTTTGTAGCAAAAAGGACAGAATCTTGAATAATAAGGGACATTGTTATATCTACCGGTCACAGAGCTAAGTTTAAATTTACCGCATCTAAATTTTGTTAAACAATTTCTTAAATATGGGGCAATACCTAAACTGAGATAAGTTTCAACATTCAGGAGGGACTTGAAAAGAATATAATTAGAACACTTGGTTGTACTATGTAGGGATGAGTACCAATCTTGTGAAAGATTATCAGACAATCTTTGCTTAAAAACAGAAATGAAACCATCAATATCTCCAATATCCTGTGAAATCCAAACAAAGCCAAACCCAAATCTAAATAAATATTCTTGATATGAGATGCCCATGTCGTCCGTCCAGATTCATCCAAAGACTTAAGCATTAAATAAAACTGATGAGGTAATCTACAACTTGGAAGAGTTAAAAGTCTACACCAATATTTAACTGCCCTTGACATATAAGTAAGTTGAAGAGGGAATCTGCCAGATTCACCAAGAACCATATTGTTGCATGTATTTTTACCAACTTTATTAAAGACAGATGAACGACAAGCAAACTGCTTAGGTTCTTGACACATCTCTGAAAAGTATACACGACAAATTCTGTTGCACCGCGATGGGTACTACTAAACACTAAAATCAGCTGTCTTCTTACATTTGTTGAGCTAAATGTATCTCATAATCTTCATTAGTGGAAGCACGTGGTCCTAGGAACAGTGTACAGATCAGTTGATCGCTTGGCTCGAGAGTTTAGTTCCTAACCCACCCTGAAGCACGTCGTGTGTCCTTAGACAGGAGACTTAGTTCGAAATATGTCCACCCCGCAGTGAATGGGTACCCGGTAGGATGAGATGATAATGTGACTGTAAACCATCAAGCACAAGTACGGTTGTATATTCCCCAGGGAGCTGAGAATAAAAAATAAAAAATCGAGCGCTCACGTATCCATTGACACCTTTGAACACGCTCTTAAGGTGTAGATTTGTCGAATTGTTACACGTTTTAGTGTTGTTAATGAGTATGAGGTTATTACGAATTAATGACAATGATAAAAGAAACAGGAATGGGACACAGGTGTCATAATTCTACTCGGATCTTAAATTGATAGTCCGTGCGTTGGAGTTTGTCTGGTCAGTAATCGAGATTACTTCAGTAACAACTGGTTTAAATTAGATGAAATGATATTCAAATATTATTTTTTAAATCAAAACAAAGACGCATTCATTTGAAAATAACGTTCTTTAGAACAAATTATTTGCAAATTTATTCGGAGAGCCGAACACTTGAAAACAGTTGACAGGTTTTTCACATTGGCTCCATGAGTCCTTCCTGAATTGCCTCCCCTAGAAAGCAATACAAGATGGCTGCCTCCATCAAGACAAATCGCAAGAGGAAAGCTGTAGCGAAAAGCAAGAAAAAGGGATGGAAGAAAGTCGATATATCCGAGTTGGAAGATTTTCTAGAAGATGAGAGGTTACAAGAAAGGACTGGGTATGTGTTTTCATTGACGATTTATCTGACATTCAGTTTGTAACTTCGCCATGTCGTAACGATTTCACAACACGTGTTCTACGATTTAGTAAATACTCCATGCTCAAAGTAACCACACTCAGCAAATAACACGTGAATACACTGAAACAGATACGCTTGGATGACTCTCGAAGTATTTTACTCAAGACTGTTATAGGCCCCTTGTTATAGATCATGACTATTCGATGTCAATAATATTTTTCACTTTTTTAGTGGCCTTGTAGCTGACAAAACAGATGACAGTCTGTTCTTCGTGGACAAAACTGTGAAAGAAAAGCCTGAAAAGGAAGCTGATGACGAAGATCAAAAAGGTATGTCAAGTAGCAAAATTGTTTTAAAGCCGAATTGTAAATTATTACTTTATCAGCTGGTTAAACAGAATTATCGGAATTTGTTCTGAAAATAGTAAACATCATTGAACATGTTATTGATATAAATGATCATATTTGACCCCTTGATTCATACCTACATGTTTTTATTACTTAATCCCTGTTCATGTATATAAGTCTGTTCTGTGCTGTAGTACTTCACTCTTGCTTGACAACAGTATAAGAATCCATACCGAAACGTCGCATATAAAAGAAGTTGTTATCCATAAACAATCTTACTTTCTTACTTTTCATATTTGATCATGTTAAAATTATGATAACCATTTTTGTTTAGCACATGTTGTCACTTGAAAACTATATATGACATGAAGAAACTGAAGTATTAGGCAGGAGCTTGCTAAAATGTTATCTCAATTCTGTTATTTTTTCTGTTGCTTGTTCATGCTTGTATTGTATTCGAAATGGCAGGTGCTGTTCAAGTTCCTCTGAGGAAAAGCCAACGGAAAAATAGGTCACTTAGATGTTTTTCTAACCTTGAACCTGACCCACACACTAAACCAGCTCATATGTGAGTATCCAACTCGGTTCCATCATCCATTAGAGAAAAGAATCTTTCAGAGCAGTAATTGGTTACTTATGTTTAAGGGGTAATAATGCAGTTAAGGTAGCACAAGCTAACTGCAGGGCTAATCAGTTGAGGCTGTTGCTTATCATATATCAGTTGCCTCTTCAATCCATAACAGGGATTGGGATAGAGAACTTTGACAATGGGCCATTTTCAGGATTATTAGCCATTTTCTGAATTTAGAATGGGCCACTGCCCTTGTATCAATTGTAAACTTCAAAATTTCAATGGGCCATTTTTTATTCTAATGTGCAAAATGGCCCCTGCCTTTCCCAATCCCTGCCATAAGATGTGTTAGTATTAGTGTAGGTTAACTCTTATCTCTCATCCTGGCCCGTGCATAGCCTTCTATCTTTAGGGTTAGGAGGACTGTGAGAGGAAGATGCATGGTTTGATGTACCCGAGCTGATCACAGGCTAAGAAAAACATTATGTCCCTATTTTGCTCTGTTAGAGTTGCCTTCATTGTCACTTGTTGAAGCTTTTCATATTGAGGCCCCCAGGTGATTCCGAGTAATAGCTGGACCCAGGTAACCTATTGTCAAGGCTTGTGACTTGTTTTAGTTGATACTGTGTCATCATAGTCCAGTTTTGTCTGTTAATTATTTACAGGCTGCTGTCATATAGCTGTATTACATATTAGTGCGTAACACCGAGACTGGGGGGAAACACATACATTATTCACTTGGACATTTTTGCATTTGTTAATTAGTAGAGAGGCAACTGAATCTGTTGGTCAACTTGGTCAAATTGTATGCCTCTTCTTTCAGTCACTGAGTTGCCTAGCAGACTAGATGATTCATCACAAATAATTTGTTTTAACAGGATATGGCCTTTTAGCATTTTAAGTGAGATCCAGCAATATCACAATGCTTCTCATAACATGCTTTGGCAGCGGGTCCACATCAAAGTTGGTAAAGAGCAAAGTAATGATGTTTCGAGGAAACAATGAAACCAATTGAATAAACTAAAGAATAAAATCAACAACAGTATTCATAAAAGTTACGAAACGTACGTTATATGTTACTATTTTCAATATTTTTTGTGTGTAAGTTAAGTGACATCTTGGCTTTCCTCGCCTCGAACTTCACGCTCGGACACGATGTTTAATCAGGGAGAATAGAAGACTGTAGACAATCACAATCCTTAAAGCAGACTGTAGCAAAAAAGCGCCATTAGAAACCAATCTTTATCCAATAAAATCGCTTCTTACAACCGTGAAAATACCCTTGGCAAAGGTACAGTGATGTTGTTGATGTTCAGAACTTTCGAATGATACCCGCCATCAAAAGAAATGCCTCACATGTTATTAAAAAATGGAGGTATTTCCCACTGTTGTGTTTTATAATAATTTTCCGATTCATTATAAATGGAAAATATAAAAGGAAACGTCATGTTACAAATGGAAAAAATCACCGCATTTGTTTCATCGTTCAGGGTTTATCTGGACATTATAAATGTGTAAGCTTGCATTTTCATGAAAAATTAACTTATTTGAATTGTCGTTATATTATTTGAATAATATGATAAAAAACAACTAACGTATTTATAAACAGTAGGATTATACCTTTCAAATGGTGTATGACATGTAGTAGAAATAATGTTTTACAAGCTGATATTTTCCTTGATAAACACAGGCTTCATCTATGACCTCAGAGTCTCTGGGAGTTCCGTGTCATGGCAGTAAAAAGCCTCTGGTTGACTGGTGTTGAAGGAGTTAACAGTATATTAAATCAGTTGTTACATACAACAATAAAGTAATGAAAGATAGTTTCATTACCAATGGCCTACTTGTTTTGTTTGTGGGCTAGTGATAATTGAAGGTTACTTTTAGGTTTAATTCTAACCCTGGTACACCATGTTTGTTGAAGACCTCACAACATCCGGACCACTCCGAGGCTGTCTAAGCAGGAGAGGGAGAGGTTGGCCAAGAAGAAGCCGACAGCCAAGGAACTGCAGGCCCAGAAACAGAGCAAGGAGGCCAGAGAAGAGAGGATTAAAAAAACCAGAGTTGGCAGGTGGAACTTGAAAGTGAATGCAAACTTGTGGGATGGTGAGGGCTGGAGTCTTGTCTTGATCAGTCTTTGTTTGAATATGTTGAATTTCAGATTTTCGATTATATCTCATTCTAAATTTGCCTTGACATGCCATCACTGCCATTCTTCAGCTGACAACGCAGTGTCACAACTGAAATAGCTTCACTTAGTCCTTCCTTTCTGGGGACACTAATGGTGAATTGACTCGAGTCATTGCAGAGTTGCCTCCCTTGGGTAGTTTTGGCATGGTTTCACATTCCAGATTCACCTTGATAATCTTTCTTGTATGTCAGCATCATGTCAGTGTTTTTTTCTCCAATGAAGCTTACATACCTGATGTGACTGAAATACTGTGCGAAGCAGCAGTAAACCCACATCACTCACTCACTCTTAATTTGTGTTGCAGACCAGCCAGCTGACCAGGATGAGGATGGAGATGACCACTACCTACTGGTCACCAAGAAGAGGAGAGTTAATGTTAGTATAGTGTGGAAGAAATGTATTCATATTTCATGAACATTGAACACATATAATGTTGCTTTTACATAATTGTTTTTCGCAGTGAAGATCCTGGTTAGAATTGATCTTCAGTAACCCATGTTTGTCGTATGATAATGGTGAATTATGTTTTGTGAATGGTGGAGTGTCTGTGAAAGGCATGTTGTTTTGTATGTTACACACACCATGCATGTGACAGAACGTGAGAGTGCTAAATAGATTGGACAAGGCCATATACTCTGTTGATTGCAAATTGTCATGCTTGGACAAAACGGGAGCTCATAACTCCAATCACTGGTTTGTCTGACCCAGATAAGCAATGGTTCAGTACTCGTAATATTGCTGAGAGTTGCATTAAACAACACACACATCTGACTCTTGTGTCATACCATGGTATCAATAATGTCTTACTGCTTGTGTTACAGGTGCCGTCTTACTACCACAAGAAGACATCCAGTCTGCCAGCAGTAGAGATGCCCCACCCTGGCGCGCCTCCTACAACCCAGCTTATGACGACCATCAGGTAAGGAGTGTGAAAGTTTAAGTAGAAAGGTGATGTGGCTCTTGGCATAGGCACCATAAACCTCATTATTGGCAGGTGGTAATGTTACAGTTTAAGGGTGTCTTTAACTAGTGGTACAGCATGAGTAAGTTATGATGGCATAATCCTCATGGACCCCACACAGTTTAGGCTTTAAGAGCATCACCAGGCCTCTAACAGCCATCAGTGACCATCATGTTTTATTGAAATTCCAAGTTTTTACTCTGAAATGATACCTGATTATCATGGTCTGCAAAAGGTAGCATCAGGTACACTTTCTAATCAGCTAAGCAGAGGTACAATTAAGCTGCGTATCTGCGTAAATTACGCAAATATTTATGTGAAACCTCAATTCCTATTAAGTATATTGCGTACAAGTATGCTTGAATTTTTGTAAATACTCAATAAATATGATCTTAAACACAAAAATGTCAAATCTTAGCTTGCGTATCGGTACATAGATAAAATAACTGAGGTATACTGAGAGGTTCTATTTCAGCACATAAACTTGCCAACTTGCAGTCTTTCTTATCGTTTCTCATATTACAGATCAAATATAAATAACAAACTCTAAGATTTAAACTTTAATATATTTTTACAATAAATGAAAAATGGCAAAATATCCTATTGAGTTTCAGTGAGGTGAGTACAATTTATTTGGTTACTCAACGGAAAATTAGGATACCCAATTGAGATGAACACAAGCAAGTAAATAACTCAATGACCCAAACAGTTATCTGTAGCTCTGGCTAAGGCTTCTCCAGTGATTGTTACAGGTGAGCGAAACAAACTGGAAATATTCAAATCAAGTTGGTAGAGTCCGAGTATTAAGCTGAAGTCAGATTAACACAAGCACCCTCACATATTTAGGTTAGATAGGCATGGCTTAAATGCTGAGGAATGAGCTGATATGGCCTCTGGAGCTGCTGCAAATAAACAATGTGGCTATGATGAGAATTTGTCACCCTCAAATTCTTCAGCACTAGACACATCATATCCTTACAGTGTTGTTTAACCCCAAGGCTTTAATTAGCCCATGATAACCGGGTCATAGCATTCCAGCATAATGCCTCACTGCACTGAAAAGGGTGTTTAAGGTTGGCTGAATCATGTTTTCTCAGCAAGAGTGTATTTACTATCTGTCCACTTTGTTTGTGGAGTTACCATGGTTACTGTCTCTGTGACCCTGCCAATGATGTTTGCTATGTGCAGGATCTGCTGTGGAAGGCCCACGAGGTGGAGGTGAAGAAGGAGAAAGCCATACAGAAGCTATTCAATGCCCTGGATGCCAAGTTTCCATCCAAAGATGATGCACCAACACAGGTACTTGCTGAACATATCATGCAGTCCTTGTAATTGTTTAATTCAAAACAACACAAAAAATTATATCCATCCCTTGACCTTGCTTGTTGATTATTATCTGTTATGGATTGACGTTGTGATGCTGCTGGCATCCTAATTTCCTATATTCTCCATTGGGAAATTAAATTTGTGTCAGCTGCTGGATTTAGTCGACAGATTTGATGACATGGTTGATAGGCTGTTATAGTTGCTCAAAATGCCAAGGGGGGTGGAGTGTAGCCTAGTGAAGTCCTGGGTTCGATTCCCCACATGGGTACAATGTGTGAAGCCCATTCCTGGTGTCACCTGTCGTGATATTGCTGAAATATTGCTAAAAGTGGCATAAAACCAAACTCACTCACTCTATCCCAGATGAGGTTATTAAGAGACTGTAGTCATGTAGCTGGAATATTGCTGAGTGCTGCAGTAAACTTGTTATACAACAGCTCTACCATGATAAATATTTGATTCTGAATGATTAGTCAGGTTTCAAATCACTATAACCACCTTTTCTCAAAACAGGTGAATTTACATCTACATCAGGATAAGAGGGACTAAATCAGTGGCAATGAATTTGTGCTCATGATGTCAACCACTAGATTTTCCTGTCCAGATTGCATTATTTGTAGGCTGCCATCATACAATATAACAATATTGCTGAGTTAAACATGAAACAAAACTGACAAAGAAGATAATCACGGCATCAACTTTTGTTGATGGCAAGAACAAACACTCTGTCGAACCCAAATCACAATTCAAGGGGGGGACTTTGGTAGTAGCAAGGGTACAGTATGCAGAGATGCCAATCATTACGCTTATGGCGTAATTATTACGATTTTGACCATTAAATTACGCCATTACACTTAATCTGCGAAAATAACGCTTTTCAACTTGTTTTACGAAAAATCAATAAAGTGGATAAAATTTAACAGGGAAGTGTTTTATAACGCACAGGTGTAGGGATGCAGAAATGGCCTTGCACCGATAGGAATCGCTTACTCTTAGCATCGCACTCATTCCAATTAACTCGCAAGGAATTAAAGTATTTTGAGTAACGTTACCAACAATTTTCAATTTATGGAGCTTCATAATGATTGGTCACATGAGTTTCTGTCTGGAATCTTCCTTTCGTGAAAACGTGTACCATTTTGAAGCGATTGGCAGACAAGGACTACACTTTTTAAGTCCAAATTACACTTTTTGACCTCAAGTATTACACATAGGCCCAAAATAGGGTTGGCATCTCTGCAGTATGTTTATCTGTTGAGGAAAGGTGCTAATGAAGGTGTATTGTATGACCTGTATGGTGATGGTCCTTCTGTTTCAGCAAACATGGCTGGAAGAGATGTCTGCAGGGCTCCACACAGACCCCACCCGGGAGGATGAGGTCGCTTTGCCTGCAGAGGACCTTGACAAGATCTCAATCAACCCCCCTGTCAGGAGGGAGGACCTCAAGACAAGAAAACAGCGGCGGAAAGAGAGGGAGAGAAGAATTGAGGTTTGCAAATGCTAAATAAAGTTCACATACATACCTTCACCACAAATAGCTGCAGACCGCCTCCGTGGTGTAGTGGTTAGAGCCTCCGCCCGGAGAGTGGAAGGTCGCGGGTTCGATCCCCGACTGCGTCATACCAAAAGACGTTAAAATATGGTACTTATTGGTCCCTGTCTGGCGCTCGGCATTAATGGGTACAATAAGGACTGGTCGGCTCGGAGTCAGTATGATGTGTCTGAGTGGGGTATTCATGCTTCACTGCAGCATGGTATCTCAGTGGGCTAGCACTATTAAACCAGCTTTAGTCTGGGCTAGTACAAGCAGCCGCACATACACACGCATACACGTCGTCATATGAGCGAAATATTCTCAAGCACGATGAAAACCCAATTTCACCTCACCTCACAAATAGCTGCAACATTGCTGATGCGGCATACCTGTGGGGATTCTGGGTAAGCACATGGGTCTCCAGAAACCTATGCTTCTTGTAAGAACACTACTTATCGAGTTACTCTCAGGCATTTCCCAAAGTCGTGGTGTCATAACATACCAGTATGCTCTGCCAGACCGAAAAACATCTTGAACTAAATTGAGAAATCTAAATTCTACACATTTAAGGTGCAACGGTTACTGAATCTGGTACAATTTGAATTTGGGGGAAGGAGTTAGGTAGGGTGTGGTATTGCACATTCATCCATCTTGGGAATGAATATCTGTACTTCTCTTGATTTCAGGCGAAGAGGTTAGCCAGAGCTAAAGTGGTGAAGCAGAAGAAAAATGAATTCAACAGGTATTGTCTTCGATGAAATTCCTATATTGACTGGACAGCCTAATCCTGACGTTCATGGTGCTAGGTGTGGATGTAGGATCAACACTTGTAAATAGCTATCTGGTGTATAAGGCATTGTTGTGATTAGACTGCTATCAAGTATACAGCAGTGTAGTTTTGACTTGTTGCTGAGCATGCTACCATTCACTCTTTGCTAACATGTAGGTAAGATTGTCTTAAAACATGTATTGATAAGTGAAATTCTAGCAAATGAATGTGGGTTACTGGTTATTGCTTCACCTACCTGGTTCCTACTGGCTGCTGTCTATAATGCTTTGAAGGATGTTTGATGCATTCTGCTGTGTTGCATGTGTAGGGCTGTGATGCATTGTGTTGCAGGTTGACAGCCAGGATGCATTGTCTCAAGAATCCTGCAGGTTGAGAGATTCTGTAAAGTATGTTGCAGATTGAGGACTAGGATGCATTGTGTTGAGTATATTTCAGGCTGAAGTCCATAAAGAAAGAAATACGTAAGGAAGAATTGGCTATGGAAGAACGTGCCAAACGTAAAGAGGAAATGCTTGAGAAGAATAAGGACAAACCCAAGAAGCTTGGCAAATACAAGTATCCTTAACATCACTGCACTGAAATGTGTTTTGTTTCAGTCTTTATATTAAATATTTTTTGCTTTACAATATAAAAAGCAAAAAATTTAATGTAGGTGAAAAAAAATAAAATTCAACAAATAATTTTCGATGAGTGTTACTGATGAATAAGAAACTAAAACATTTTAACATGGCAAGATACTGAAGTACTGGACAGATGACCTACTCACGGCGGTGTTTATATATGTGCCACACAGTACACAGTTTAATTCATACATCTAGTCACAATCCTTGACCTAACCCAGATATGAAGATCCTGACGTTGACATTCAGCTTAGTGAAGAACTGCCTGGATCACTGAGGTTACTGAAGGTATGTTTTGTTTTGAAAATGCAGATGTAAGAGGTAAACATACCATGTATTTTCTGTCATAAGACTAATTTGAATTTACAGCAAGCTGTGCACATTCTTTCCAATAAATACCAATTTCAGTTTGAAGTGGATTAAAAATCAACTGTTTGAATTGGTGGTTATCATAAAATGATAAATGACCAATGATAATAAAGTATTTTTTAAGTTCATGGTAGAATGTAGAGGCACAGCAGCAGTGGAAGTTTTGTGCAAATTTGAAAAGCACATTACTGTGATCTGGTAAATAGGTTATTGTCTAGTGTCTATAATTGTATGTATAGTAGGGCTGTGCAATATAACTGGTTTACTGGTATTTACCGGTTCAGACATGAAAACGATACGTATTGTGATACGCCTATCAAAAACTGGTATTTCGACTTGCATTAGGAAAACTTCGCAACACTCGGAAATTTTCGAATATTTCCTTGTTTCATTTGTGTCAAATATTATTTACATTTTTATTTTGTCATGATTAAAGTTTGTTGTTAAATCTAAATTAAGCATAGTTATTTTGTTGTGGTTTTGCTTTATAAATCAAGCATTAACCCGATCATAAGTAGTTTTATGTTTAAAAATACTTCTTGCAATATATTGCAATACATTTCGCAATATATGCTTTCACATCGCAATATATCACAATATGAAAATTCTCTGCAATACCCATCCCTAATGTATAGTTAATATTGCATATGCATTCATTCTTCAGTACCATCTGAATCTGGTTGTAGATCTAAATGTTGTAAGAAGTCATATAGAAGTTCTCACACTTGTTTCTGAGCATGTTTTCATCTTGTTGTACTCAATACTTTCCTTCCAGCCTGAAGGCTTCCTCATCAAGGACATGTTTCACAGTCTACAGAAGCGGAACATCATTGAGACAAGGGAGAAGGCTAAGTGAGTAATGTTGTTCATGACCTTACTACCCGTAAAGATCCGTTAGAATGAACCTTCAGTAACCCATGCTTGTCGTAAGAGGCGACTAACGGGATTGGGTGGTCAGGCTTGCTGGCTTGGTTGACACGTCATCGGTTCCCAATTGAGCAGATTGATGCTCATGCTGTTCATCACTGGATTGTCTGGTCCAGACTCGAATATTTACAGACCGCCGCCATATAGCTTGAATATTGCTAAATGTGGCGTATAACTGAACTCACTCACTCACTCACTCACTCATGACCTTACTTCCTACTGGTTCCTTACAGGAATCTTGGATCACTTGTACGCAGTGCACGGCTGTTGTTATTTGCGACCTAGAGTCTTCTGTCATTGTTTAAGTTTACAAGTTCCTATCCTCTTGTCAGAGCTACAGATAACTTTTGGGGTCATTGAGTTATGTACTCGCTTGTGTTCATCTCAATTGGGTATCCTAATTTTCCTTTGAGTAACCAAATAAATTGTACCCACCTCACTCAAACTCAATTGGGTATTTTGCCACTTTCCATTAATTGTCAAAATAAATAAAGTTTAAATGTTATTCATATTGGACTACAAGTTGCCAAGGTCATGTGTTGAAATAGAACCTCTGAATATACCTCAGTTATTTTATCTATGCACTGGTACGCAAGCTGTGATTCGACATTTTTGTGTGCACGCATGTAAGATCAAATTTATTGAGTATTTACAAAAAGTCAGGCGTACTTGTACGCAATAGACTCAATAAGAACTTAGTTATCACATAAATATTTGCCTAATTTATGCAGATACGCAGCTTATCTGTACCTCTGTCCTGTCAAAGACAGCTTTGTGAAACGAGGACTAGCTTGTTCAGGGAGTCTTCCTATCCATGCAATGTAATGTAGCTTTAGTAATACTACTGTCATAATTGTTGCGAAGGATGTCATAGCTATATGATTAAAGTACGTATGACACTGTCTAGCAGATTGCCCAGGTCACCTACTCGGTTGATAGTTTCATCACAATACAAATCAGGGATTGTCTGGTCCAAGATCATTATATTTATGCGTAACTTAGTAAGGCATTATGGACGGTGGGGTAGCCTAGTGGTTACAGTGTTCGCTTGTCACGCTGCAATGCGTAAAGGCCATTTCTGGAGGCGTAAAACTGATCTCACTCACTAGTATGGCATTATTCAACAATGCCTTTCCTAGATAATTGACGCCATGCAACTGTGAAGTTCACTTGTTTGTCTTGATGCTGGGTTATCTGTGAATTCTTTCTGTTTTGCAGGAAACCAAAGAACAGGCGACCCAAATTCTTTGAGAGGAAGTCACACCGAGAAATTACGTGAGTATTCTATATTTGAAAGGATGAAGTTCATTAAGATGTAATATGCAGGGGTGTCATCACTATCTTACATCAATGCATTCTTCTTCGCAATGAATGACTGACCACAATTTTCACAATTTTTTTCCATTGCAGATAAAAATGACAACAAAACGCCAAAGTCAGAGAAATAACTCTTCCTTATATGTACATGGATGTGTAAATAAAATGACATATACATACAAGAATTCAATTGTTATTATCAATATCTACCCAATACATATTTGTGCAAGTCAACAATTGGCACCAAACCTATATGGGGAGATCTTCATGGTCTCAGACTATTTCCTCCTCTTGATCTGTGATGGCTCTTGTCTATGTACGTGATAATCATATCCTGGTTAAATTATGTGCATCAAAATCGTGGGGGGATTATTTTTATGTGCCAAGGAATGTTCCCGCAACCAAACCATGGAAAAGATGCATGTTAACACCTTAAGTGTAATTTTTCTACAAGTATCCCATCACAAGTGTTCCTCTCGGTGTCACATAACACGGTCCTTGTCCACCTGTCTGGCCCAGACCTCCACAGCTGTCCTTCAGTAAACGGGGAAATCCTTGTCCACCTGTCTGGCCCAGGCATGCAGGCCGCCACGGATGTCCTTCAGTGTTACATTACAGTCTGACAAGGAATCTTGAAGGGACCTGACTGCATTCTGAGAGTCATTACCTCGACGACAAACTAGCACAACTGACACTGGGCTGTTATCACTTGTCGACTGTTTCTTGATGGAGGCTTTCAACCTCTCTATACAATCACCTTTGTTTACTGAAGATATTGGAATATCTTAGATTGGCTAAGGAATGTCTAGACTTTGGCTTACTGAAGATACTGGAATATCTGAGATAGGTTTCTCTACAAATTTATAATCTTGTACTGCAACATGGGTACAAAAATCTCTTATTTCTCCATGTTTTTAAATATACTGAACAAACAGTAAGTGTTGACAACTATTTTTCTGAGATATTTTTAGGAAATTGTGTGCTCAGTCTTTACATCAACTGACAACCTACCAAAGTATTCCTTATCCTGTTTTTTCCCTCCGTACATGTATAATCTTATGTGGCACATATTAATTGCTAAAGTTCACTAGACTGTCCACCAATTTGCTGTTTTTAGAAAACATGATTAGCGTATATAACAAAACAATGTCAAGGGTGCAAAAAAGTAAGGTCAAATATGGCATTGTATCTATTCATAAGATCACGAAATTCAGAAAGTTACAATCTGTATGTGAAGCCAAGAGTAGCAGATAATTACTGTTAATCAGGTCCTCCACAGATTATATGACAGTGATTGTTGAATAATAGAGGTTGGTGCTTGTAGATCATAAGGATACTGACTGATGGGTGTGGTAGTTGACAGATGCCCATCTCCACTTCTGTCCGTACGTCCACCAATACGTGAGGTGACCGCTTCACTAGCATCTCTTGGTAAACCTGTCATGCAGAACGACAACAACAACCCAAATGAAGGGTGCACAGGACAAGCATTAGCTGGAAAGGGCTTTACATTACAGTGAAACATTCTAGCCTATTCAAACTGGTGAGGTGAGGAGAAATTGGGTGTAACGTCGTGCTGGAGAATATTTCGCCCATATGACGACGTGCATGCGTGTGTATGTGTATGTGTATTTGCGGTTGCTTCTACTAGCCCAGACTTAAGCTGGTATTATAGTGCTAGCCCACTGAGATACCATGCCGCAGTGAAGCATGAATACCCCACTCAGACACATTATACTGACTCCGAGCCGACCAGTCCTTGTTGTACCCATTAATACCGAGAGCCAGACAGGAACCAACAAGTACCATATTTTAACGTCCTTTGGTATGACGCGGTCGTTGGATCAAACCCGCGACCTTCCGCTATTCAAACTGGACCATAACAGGACTGACTATTGATATATATTGAAAAGATCAATAATTGTCAACTAAATATCGATTGATTATTGATAAATATCGGAAAAGAATTTTCAGCACAATTTTTATATCAATAATCATCAATAATACTTCCCGTTGATGATATTTCTGATTATCAAATTGTTTTAGCCAGCCCTACATCATGACATGCCAACACAAGGTATGCCATGTGGCGGTTGTTTGTGGAGTGCATGTTTTACCTGACTGATCACCTTGACATTGAATGTCATTTGAAGGACTGCTGTGTTACAGGACTAGTAAATAGAAGTTTCATGTTTATAAAGAAGTGTGCCTCTGAAACTGACAATGGATGAACCATGTTTAGCAGAAACCTAAACAGTGAGACTTTGAGTACAGGAGTAATTAACAATAGCATTAATACTTAAATACAAGCATTCATACAAAAGCCAGCAGTAACTATATTAGCTATTTTTCTCACAAGACATTGACCTTGAACCTCATGCCATGTGTCACAAAAATTCCCCAGGATATGTGAGTGAGTGAGTGAGTTGGGTTTTACGCCGCACTCAGCAATATTCCGGTTATATGGCGGCGGTCTGTAAAAAATCGAGTCTGGACCAGACAATCCAGTGATCAACAGCATGAGAATCAATCTGCGCAACTGGGAACCGATGACATATGTCAACCAAGTCAGCGAGCCTGACCACCCGATCCCGTTAATCGCCTCTTATGACAAGCATGGGTTACTGAAGATCGATATTCTAACCCGGACCTTCACGGGTCCCAGGATATGTTATCCTCATTGTCAATAACAGGTGTTTTAGCCCCCACTAAAATATCACTGTCAGAAATTCAGACAAGCACAAAATAATAACATTTTTTCTAATTACACATGAAATGTAATTACTAGTTCCTATAATCAATATCAGATTGTTTTCACTGCAAATTCAATCCAAAACCAAAACTCTGGAACAGTGTGCAGCCTTAGTACAATATCACAATACATGTTACCATAGCAACCTATATGCCATTATTGTATTTGTAATATGTGTAACAAAGCATTGTAATATCTGAACCCAAGCACTGGCACATCAACCACAAGAAGTGATAAACAACCATCCTGAAACATATCCAATTAAATGGATAACAACATATTGTATATTCAATATCAGTGAATTTTTAATCTCCCATTTCTGTTTAATTATCTATGATGATATTGATAACTATTGTCTCCTTTATTATTGTGTATAAATATATGTACATTTATGTGATGAAATTGCCTTTTGTTTCAACACAATGAATCAAGAACAATGATAGGAATTTCAATAAAACTTATAATAATAAAACATGACCCTAATAGTCTACTGAAATTATATTTCTAATCAAGGTGAAACATTTATTGCTGAATATAGGATCCTGGCCAACTGGTGCCTTGGACACAGTGTACAGCCTTTCTCTGTATGTTTGGTTAACATACATCAATACGTTTATACGTTTTATACAAACTTCTAATATTCATTCACAAATAAATAATTTATACCTTATTATTATTCTTATTATAGGATATTTATATAGCGCACATATCCAGGCAACTAGTGCATGCTCAAGGTGCTGGTATTTTTCCCTCGATCATTGGATGTCAATCTTAAGGGCACATCGTATTATCAATCTCAACTCCCTGGGGAGTATACAACCCTTCCTTTTATTGTTAGTATTTATGTTTGCAAACTTGTGGAATGGACTGCTTATTTAGTTATGATTCTAATTTTAAAATACCAATCAGTTCACACTGAATTTGATAAACTTGTATGCAATATTAATTGAAACTTTTTAAAATGAATCTTTAACATTCCAACAGATTATACTTACTTTTGGGGAGATTCTCTCTGTGTCATGTAATACTGTTAGGGCATGTTCCTGAAACAATTTCACAATTCATAACTGAAAACTGTTTAGATGGTAACATATCTTAAGTTCTTCTAGATAGAAAGTTTACAACCGATATTGGAGATCTTTGAACTATCTACTCTCATGCGTCTGTGCCTTTAGCCACTAGTCCAAAACCAGATTCAAGTAAAATTCTGCAGACTGGTGTAGTCGGAAATATTTTCCCATATATTAGAATAACACTAAAACTGACATATAATGATGTCAGAGCCAAGTTTGGACGGACAGCCTGAAGAAGTTTATGCTACAGATGAAAGTTGTACCAGATGTAATGAGTGGCTGAGTTGATTTAATGTAGTTTGATTTTTTCACATTTACATAATGGTGTGTTAACCTAACATTTCCTCATTAGGGTCAAAGTACTTTGTTTGAAGTGCTGGAATTAAAGATAATGCTTCCCACACAACACCAGCAGGAAAAATGTCACGGTGAGACTTATGAGTTTGTGAGTCGTGAGGCTGCACTACTTAAGACCTTCTGGTCCATCATCATAAACACTGCCCTCATCACCTTGTCAGAAGCTCTGGCCCCACAGAACTGTTCATAGTCGATGAGCTGGGTGATGGAGGGGTTGTCTCCACACACTGGACACTGCGGCTGTCGGGGACGTAGTTTGATGGTGCGGAACATCCCGTCCAGGGCATCAAACAGCAGCAGGCGCTGGCTGAAACTGGCTGTAGGGGGCTAAGGAACGGTGCATCACTTCTGTCATTACATTATGATACTGATCCGGGTTAGAAATGATCTTCAGTAACCCATGTTTGTTGTAGGAGTCAACTAACGGGATCGGGTGGTCAGGCTCACTGACTTGGTTGACACATGTCATCGTATCCCAATTGCGTAGATCGATGCTCATGCTGTTGATCACAGGATTTCCTGGTCCAGACTCGATTACTTACAGACCGCCGCCATATAAATGGAATATTGCTGAGTGCGGCATAGAACTAAACTCACTCACTCACATGATGTTACTGCTGTAATTATTTCTCTGAAGGAGATGCAATACATTTATATATGTTTTTGAGTTCCATGACATGACTTGTTTGCTCTGATCTGTCCCAAATTTGTGATGCTAAGATGGCTGTCATTTAAAAATCACAAAAGATTCTGTCTTTATAGGTGATACAACAAAATACAGACAGATGAGACAGTTCATTGTAAGACATTGTCACAACATGCCATCAAAGCACTCCGTCTGACCACTCGATCCATTTGGTCACCTCTTTTGACCAGCATACATTCTTTTATTGGGGTCAACTGGATTCCCCAAACGGTACATCATTGATAGTTGGTGTGTTCAGGTTACTTCGGGGTCAATCAAACCTACATCTATAGTCTGTTTGCAGTGAAAACGTACCGATGAATTTCACTTTAAACAAATAAGTAAATCAAATAAAGTGAAATTAAGATTGCGAATTCTCATAATTTTACCTTGCCAATTGAACATTTAAATCTCAGAATTTTATGCAAATTAGGATAAAAGTTGTTTAACAAACAATCATAGATTCAAATTGCTATTAATGGTTTGTATTACAATGGGGTAAGCGCAGTAGTTGGAACAGTGAAACAAATGCACGTGCGGTACGTGAAGAGCGTTAACTTATAACAGCCCTTGTCGTTTTCGGTGTTTCATTTGATGTGCAAACCCCCTTGTAATACAAACCAATAATAGCCATGCGAAACTATGATCGTTTGTTAAACAACTTTTATCCTAAGTCGAATAAAATTCTGAGATTTAAATGTTCAATTGGCAAGGTAAAATAATGAGGATTCGTAGTCTTAATTTCACTTTATTTGTTTTACTTTTTGGTTTAAAGTGACATTCATCGGTACGTTTTCACTGCAAACAGACTATAGTTTCAGCTTCTGCCCAGTTTCCTTGAATAGCTCATCCCGAAGTTGACCTATGACACACCAATACATCACTGGTAACCATAATGACACACCAATACATCACTGCTAACCATCACAAGGATACTGCCTATCTGCGCCATGATCTTCACTGCTTCCAGGGCTTGCAGACACCCAATGATCCCCGGGACTGTAACAAGAACATGTTGTTACACTAACACAGAGTTAGATCCACCATTTTGTAAAACTGGACCACACGATAACAAAGTCATACAGTGAGGTGAGGGGAAATGTTTGGGTTTTTTAATAATAATAATAATAATAATATAGATCATTTGTAATGCTTTGACTCCACAACACTTGGCCATGCTCTAAGCGCAAAACACAAGACAGTCAGTAGCTTAAGAAAAAGAAATGTCTTTAGATGAGATTTGAAACTTGAGCGAGTTGGAGCAGATTTGATGTCTGTAGGAGAGAGTTCCACAGGCAAGCAGCTGAATGTTTGAAGGATCTATGTCCGAAAAGTTTTGAGTTTATATGGAGGCACAACAAGAAGTAATTGATCGGCAGATCTGAGATTCACGGGTGAGACAAGGGCTTGGAGATAGAGTGGAGCAGTTCCATTTAGTACTTGGTAAGTTAGAGTTAAAATCTTAAACTCTATTCTTTCCTAATTCTCGACCAGTGGAGAGACTTCAATGCAGGCTGGATATGACCTGATAGTTTTGTGCGTGTGATAATCCTGGCATGGCGTGTTCTGCAGTTTCTGCAGTCTGTGAAGTTGGTCACTGGTAATACCAATCAAGAGACTATTGCAGTAGTCTAACCGCTAAACAATACTAGGGATCTCATCAGTGGCAGTGGTGTTTCTAGTAAGGAGGTGACGGATAGAACCAATAGACATGCGGGCACATGTGAACATGCATCAAACTGTAGTGGTCTTGACAAATGTTGTTTTTAAGTACTATTCCACTAAGAACTTTGATCCCCGTATTGAATTTGACTTTAAAAGTCCCTATTTCATCCCCAAATGCTGAGCCTTAGGAAAACAGGTATCATGTCTTACTGGTCTTGGTTTGACTCGGCCAGGGATCAAACCACTGTCATTTCACTCTCTCTGGGTAGATGCTTTATCCACTAGGCCATGGTGGATGTCAGTCACAAAGTGAACATAAATACACAATAAGCAGACGTGGAGCAGTTGTTGGTGGCGGTTTCGGGAGGGGGAGGTTTGTAATAGTCTTGTGGTTGTTGTATATGGTGCTATACTGACCTACTCCCAGCACACCACCCTCGGAGCAGTTAGTGACTGTTTCGGGAGGGGGAGGTTTGTAATAGTCTTGTGGTTGTTGTATATGGTGCTATACTGACCTACTCCCAGCACACCACCCTCGGAGCAGTTGGTGACTGTTTCAGGAGGAGGGGCAGGTTGTTGTATATGGTGCTATACTGACCTACTCTTGTTGGTTGTTGTTTGTAATAGTCTTATGGTGCTATGGTGCTATACTGACCTACTCCCAGCACACCACCCTCGGAGCAGTTGGTGACTGTTTCGGGAGGGGGAGGTTTAGGAAAGAGGCATCTGTAGCACGGTCCCTTTTGGTGGTTGTACACCGTCAGCTGGAAGAACACAACATGAGCTTCAAACTTCCAGTTACTGGCTGACATGTGAGATAGAGCTTTCTTTCATACCATACAAACATCCCACACCTCCATACAAAACAATACTATCAGATTTGTACAGAAATATGTAAAATATTTTTAATTAGTTATTATGCAGCTGATCAAATTTTTTCAGAATTAGACTGTTCATATTAACAGTGCATGTTTTTGAAATTAAAAACAGAAAAGACTTGGTGTCAGGCATTTGAACATCTGAATCACTGTCATACCAGTAAGGTTGCAGAAAACATAAATATAGTGTATCCAGTGAGTCAAACATTAGTCAAGCAGGGCCTTTATCCTACCTGGTCAAGTGAATCATGAGTGTTGTCCCATGTGCCAGAAATCCTTACATCATAACACAACCAGTATTGTTCAATATGGCACACATGTCCCTATGAAGTGTCACTTATGATGGATGATTAATAATATACGACAATAAATATCAATGACAATTAACAATATCAGAGAACTGGCCAATATTATGTACATTTTATATCTCTGTGTGAATCAACTTCATGCATATGTCAAACTGACATCCAATATCAGAGATATTCATATCATTATCTCATGAAATATACGAACAAATAAATGAAATACGTCACAATGCAATACAATAAAAGTTTGACCCTGATATTGATGCAGGCTAAAGTCAGAAAATTGTTAGAAAATGAGAAGTCATCAAAAGAATCAATAACCTTCAAAAGCATGGGCAACCTATAAAATGAAAACAGGTCTTCAAAAGCGTGGAAAACTCATAAACGACAACAGACAGGACTCCAAAAGCATGGATAATCCATAAACAACAGACAGGTCTTCAAAAGCACAGACAACCCATAAAATGACAAGACAGGTGTTCAATAATAAACAACCTATGAAATGACAACAGTTTATATAGGTCTTCATAATCTGTAGCCATACGCCCATTGACAACTGTGACATGGCCGACTGTCCCGTACTCACCTGCCCCTCGAACCTCAGGGCGCTACCCGACACCAGGGACTTCCCTGCCATCACGCAGGCATCGCTCAGCAGGTAGCGGGTCGCCACATTGTCACTGGCATCCAACACAACATCATACCTTACAAGTTTAGGGGCACAACGAAACACTTGTATGTAAACATCTATCACATTGGGGTGAGTGAGTGAGGTCTAGAATTAGTTGATGACATGTAAAGGTTACATATGGATAACAAGAGTTAGCCAACACAGACTGGCAAATTAAACATGTTTGCCATTTGTGCTTACATGCAACACATATGTTGTTGTTACTTAGATCCTCTGCACATCATTCAAATGGTGACATAATTTTGTAGCAGATCCCCTGACGTAAATAAATCTTGCCATTTAAACTAGACATTATCTCACTGGATGTAATCGACGAAGCGGTTTCAGAGCCACTCAAATGTCAAAACACAGTTTGAAAACACAAAAGCTGGACAAATTATTGGTTACAATAGAGACAGATACTATTTGTTGCTAACAGTTTTTGGATCACAAAGATTCTAGAGCTATGCCAGTCATAAGTCTAAGCAAAACTAACAGTTAAAAATGTCTGCAGCTGAAGAAACTGTGCAGATTAGGATCTTGTTTAGATTGCCCAGAACTGCATTATTAGAGCAAATCTGCAGTAATACAGCTGGAATATAGGTAACTGTGCTGTGAAGCTGTAGTCTTTCAGTCACAAACATGAACCACCCATCGTGGTCACAGACACAGAGGTCAAGAAGGATACTGTGAGATGATGTCCAGGGCATTTGAGCTGTCCAGCTGAAGTCGATACGGAACATACTGTACTGAAGAGTTCAGCCTGTAACATAGCAACCAGACATATTCTGATTAATTGGTACCGGTAATGCTGTGACATTGACACAAGGAGGCTGAATTCTTAGAAGACATATTGTCAGAGTGAGATGGCTGCATTTAACAGTAATGGAGATAAGGTTTTCAGAAATATTTGCATTCAACAGTAATGGAGATAAGGTTTTCAGAAATACATGTATTTGCAGTCTGTCAGCTTACTTTTTACAGTGGACGTGTAATTCACAAGAACATGTGAAGTACTGAATGGCCAAGGACCATCATCATCAGTAATGAGTTGAGAGACACAAATGATCGAGAATCACACCAACTTCTCTTTTGTTCAAAAGGGGTGGTAGGATAGCCTAGTGGTTAAAGTGTAGTCACTCGTCACGGCAAAGACCCGGGTTCGATTCCCCACATGGGTATAATGTGTGAAGCCCATTTCTGGTGTCTTCCGCTGTTATATTACTAAAAGCAGTGTAAAACCCAACTCACTCACTCCATTAAAGTTCAAAACACCGAGGCTTTGTTAACTAAAGATGTCAGAAAGGTCTGCAAAGCATTGTGAGTGAGTGAGTTTAGTTTTACGCCGCACTCAGCAATATTCCAGCTATATGGCGGCAGTCTGTAAATAATCGAGTCTGGACCAGACAATCCAGTGATCTACAGCATGAGCATCAATCTGCTCAATTGGCAACCGATGCAAAGCATTGTGATACAATAGCATAGAAACAGTATCTCCAAAGTGATATTGCTTCCCAGATAGCAGGTACCAACATTGGCCCAACGTTGGCAAAACCATTGCCAACATTGGGCCAACGTCTGAATGCTATCTGGGTTGATCTCAGCCACCCTATCTCTCCGATGGAATCCAGTTTAGGAGGATTAGGCCTGTTTCACCCAACAGCTGCTCACTGAACACAGACTTACGACAGCAACACACAAATATCGCACTGTGAGACAGCAATAAGCTGGATGTTCTAAGTGGCATCTGTGCAGTACAGACTGTTAAAGAAACAGCACAAGTTGCAAGTTTACATGCTACATACCCTGAGTACCAACACTACTGTCATCTTTAGTTCAGCAGGCTGTAAATGTAGACTACAGTTATGTATACTGGAAGTGCTACCAGTAACATCAACAACCTCTCAGGGCTGATACCCCTGAAGGTCCGGGTTAGAATGAACCTTCAGTAACCCAGGCTTGTCGTAAGAGGCGACTTAACGGGATCGGGTGGTCAGGCTCGTTGGCTTGGTTGACACATGTCATCGGTTCCAAATTGCGCAGATCGATCCTCATGATGTTGATCACTGGATTGTCTGGTCCAGACTCGATTGTTCACAGACCGCCGCCATATAGCTGGAATATTGCTGAGTGCGGCGTAAAACTAAACTCACTCACACTCACTCAGGGCTGATCATCATGAGGCAGTATTCAGTATCATGTTTACATTTCTCACATTACAATTTCTCTTAGTTCACAGAGTTTCAGATTCATTTTCTATGACACTGACTGATGGTTATCCAAAATGCCCTGAAGATTGTGTTCAAATTTGGTATGAATATAGGAATGTACTATCGAAAGTTGATCAAATAAATATTCCACACTAATAGATTTTACTTTCAAATGACATCTTGGATCACAGAAGAGTGTATCTACATTACTGGACAAGCATCTCTGTGTTGCTGTGTGTAGAACACAAGGATAATACTCCCCTCTTGCATGCATGTGTGGCTGATGCCGACTTGGCAACACCGACTCTGTCCTCTGTGTGTAGCACCTGACGATGCAAGTTACTCAGCTCCACCTCATCGTAGTCTATAACACCCAGCTTACCTGAAATACATAAAATAATACATAGCCATGCATCGCAAATATACAGGTACATCACACTAGCTTCAACACACAATACAATTACATGTCAAACTAGCTTACCAAGCTCTAAATAAGCTGCATATATGCATGGCATATGTTGACAAGTAAACATAGCCCAATTAACTTTCAGTTCCTTGAGTATAACTATGATTGATATCCCTGTTTTGAGTGCAATGCATGGACATGTCTCAATAAAAAGTCTGAAAACAGCATCGCAAGAGGAAAGGTGCCTAAACAAGGTCCACTAATTGCAATGAAAATACACACTCGGCTGGAATCAAAGGAATATAGAAAAATATTAAATAAAAACTATATATACACATTCATACATCACACACAACGACACATCATATTATACATTACCATACATTCATACATCACACACCAACCGACACATCACATGATAATACATTCATATACATTCATACATCACACTACATTCATATACATCACAAATATACATTCATACATCACACTACTTAACATTCATACATCATAATATACATTCATACATCACACCAACGACACATCACAAATATACATACATCATCACACAACGACACATCACATGATACATTCATACATCACACAACGACACATCACATGATACATTCATATATCACACAACGACACATCACATGATATACATTCATATCACACAACGACACATCACATGATACACATATATATCATATACACATCACCGACACATCACACGATACACATGATACACATTCATCATCACAACACACATCACACGATACATTCATACATCACACCAACGACATATCACATGATACATACATCATCATCACCAACGACACATCACATGATACATTCATACATCACACCAACGACACATCACATGATACACATTCATATATCACACCAACGACACATCACATGATACACATTCATATATCACACCAACGACACATCACATGATATACATTCATACATCACACCAACGACACATCACATGATACACATTCATACATCACACCAACGACACATCACATGATACACATTCATACATCACACCAACGACACATCACATGATACATTCATACATCACACCAACGACACATCACATGATACACATTCATATATCACACCAACGACACATCACATGATACACATTCATACATCACACCAACGACACATCACATGATATACATTCATACATCACACCAACGACACATCACATGATACACATTCATACATCACACCAACGACACATCACATGATACACATTCATACATCACACCAACGACACATCACATGATGATACACATTCATACATCACACCAACGACACATCACACATCACATGATACACATACATCACACCAACGACACATCACATGATACACATTCATACATCACACCAACAACGACACATCACATCACATACATTCATACATCACACAAACGACACATCACATGATACACATTCATACATCACACCAACGACACATCACATGATACACATTCATACATCACACCAACGACACATCACATGATACACATTCATACATCACACCAACGACACATCACATGATACACATTCATACATCACACCAACGACACATCACATGATACACATTCATACATCACACCAACGACACATCACATGATACATACATTCATACATCACACCAACGACACATCACATGATACACATTCATACATCACACTAACGACACATCACATGATACACATTCATACATCACACCAACGACACATCACATGATACACATTCATACATCACACCAACGACACATCACATGATACACATTCATACATCACACCAACGACACACCACATGATATACATTCATACATCACATTCATACATCACTACCTTACACATATACCTGAAATATACATGAAATATACACATTCATATACATCACACTACTTACCTGAAATATACATTCATACATCACACTACTTTACCTGAAATATACATTCATACATCACACTACTTACCTTACCTGAAATATACATTCATACATCACACTACCTTACCTGAAATATACATTCATACATCACACTACCTTACCTGAAATATACATTCATACATCAACCTACCTTCTTACCTGAAATATACATTCATACATCACACTACTTTACCTGAAATATACATTCATACATCACACTACTTTACCTGACATTCATATACATTCATACACTCACTTTACCACATATACATTCACCTGAAATATACATTCATACATCACACTACCTTATCTGAAATATACATTAATAATTCACTTGTCAGGGATAGACAGCCCTGTCAATCAGAACCCACCCCAGGTGAGAAACATACCTATCCCTGCTGCTGCCAGGTAGATTGCAGCTGGACATCCCAAACCACCAGCGCCAACAATCAGTACAGAGGACTTCTGTAATTTTAACTGACCTGAAAAAAAGACTTAATACTCACAAATCTCTCAAAGGCAAATGCTAGGAAATAGATTCACAACTGACTTTCATGAAGGTAACTATTAGTGTTTGTATTTTGAATAAAAACTATATATCAAGTGAAAACAACCATATTTCATTATGCTAATATTTGGATATAAATTAAGCTGTTGTGAAAGAAACAAGAATTTGCAGGAAAACTGATACAATTTTTATTGCAGTGTGATGTAACCATGGTAACAATGGAGGACTAAAAGCATAGAAAGTTGTAAACTTTATCTCACCTGGAACACCTATCTCAGGAAGAATGAGCTGCCTGCTGTAACGACCAATACCTTCTTTTGTCAGCTCAGCGACTCTTTTGCTTGTTTCCGTTGATGGACCACTTACTTCAGTCACTGTTTCAAAATCAGCCTGAATTCAAGGAAACAAAAAATATTGTGCTTACACCATGTTGTATTGTTTCATCTATTTTACTGTAATCTGTGTATGAAACTTACTTCTTTGTAATGTGAAATAGTTACACTGATTTACTGTACAGCTGAGTTGGCTAAATTCATAAAGTGTGTTGGAAAATTTGTACTTAAAGGTGAGATCAGGCTAGTCTACCAGGCTTGTTTTCCACTGTCTAAACATGTTAGAACATTTGTCATAATCTATTATATGGTCTCTGGTAATAGAAAACAAAGGTATATATACATTTCTGGGGGTTTTTAATATAGTTTTTTACAACTTGTCAAATTTGATATACTTCATATTAAAATTCTGATAAGATGTTTGTTGATCTGTTTAACAAAGTATATTTAAACAAATGCAAGCTCATGCCAAACTTAGCATGTCATCATGTGACTGGAATTGGCTGTTTCACTCATTCACTGTACAGGGAGATAGCGTTCAAATGCAAAGGAGATAATTGCATAGTCGTCAAAAACAGGGTGCTGGGGTAAAAAGGAATGAATTAAAGCGAGTATTGTTCATATTGTTTCAAACATTCAAGTGTTTTGGGGTATAATTTGTTTAGGGAGACAGTGTTTACGTGGGCTGAACCAGTTCATAGGCGCTGTAAATTAAGTAGCCCATACTGGTATGTAGAGCGGTGATTTAAGTAGATGTGTATAAATAATTGAATAATAGTATTTTGTAAACATATTAATTTTGATAATTACTTGGATTGTGTGTATACTTGAAGTTGTTATGCTTTGTTTTCAGTGATCTGAAACTAAGGACAGCTAAGGACAAGAAAAGTGTGATTGAAGAGTGAGCAGAATATTTTCCATTATCTTGTCTAGATTTGTTTATTTGTATGAATATATTTGTATATACTATAAGTGTTTGTACAGGTAATCTTTGTCTGTGGATCAAACAAAATTAGTCTACTCATTATAATTTTCAACAAGAAAAATAATGAAATTGTTAAACAGTTTTCACTGTCATTTAGGTTATCGGTGGATTAAAATAAATTAGTCTACTCATCGAAAACAGGTTGCACTGAGTTGTTGTGAATGTTAATTAGGAAGTGGTGAGTTGTTTTGATTGTGAAATACTGTGTATATTGAAGTGTTTGTTAATTATTTTTGTCGGTGACCTTATCCTTCTTCTCTACTGCTACTTCTCTTCTGGTCTGTGTAGTTGAATGTTGATAATTGATGTTTTTTTTCATCACTGATCATACTTACCTAATATATATTTATTTCACAAAACTCAATTTAATATAAGCTGGTAATGAAGGAGGAAGAATTCGTCAGACCTGGCCGCTCGCGAAGCATGTTTTTCATCACCGATCATACTTACCTAATATATTGTTTACATAATATCGATTTTCATCATCAATGATGTTGAAGTTTCCCATTTTACTAACGTCTACGATTCCACCGCTTAATCTGCCTACGAATCCACCGGATTTCCACGTCTACGAACCAGTCTGATCTACGATTGTACGAGTTCACCAACAGCCGTTTTTCTTATTGAATATTTAATATGTTCACGCAAGACTAGCTACAAACACTGGAGTAATGTACATGATTTAAGATTTAAAGCAGTCTTTGCCACTTTAAATAGAAAAAATAAATATCGTAATAAATTCACGATGTCATCTTGATAATCGATTTTGATGCAGATCGACATACGGTCCGGTCCGTCCCATACAGTTTTCCGTACTGTCACAACTGATATATATCGCACTATAAAAACTTGCATAATCGTAGCCCAACAAAGCCTTAATGGGACCTGCTTTTTAAAACTTGCATCAGATACGTGTGCTTACAACTTTCTGTGTATATAGTTGTGAAGAAATCGTGAATTTATTACGATATTTTGCTCCCATCACAGAGAAGGTTCCGATAATTGGCAATATATGACTGAGCCTTCGAAATAGTCTATATTTTATTACATTCTATTATATAAGAATGGCATATATGATATCAAATTCATGCATTAGTACAGATGTCTCGCTGATACAGAATATTGACAAACGTTCTACGTTCTACGAAAAGTTCCCTATTGACGAAACATTTACACTGTAGAGTTATCTACCTTTCTCGGCTCCCTGGCAGAGACATTTGTCTTTCCGTCTGATTATGCACATATCTTAAAGGTAACAACGAGATAACAAGGTACCTTGTCTTCCATTGCTGCTCTCAGTCTCTCAATTTCCTTGTCTTTGGCCTCCAGCTCCAGTTTTAAGCGACGTATTTCCACCTGTTCCATGGTAAAACGTGCCGGTGCTTGGTCACGTGACTGAGAGACATTCATATCTCTTTCGATAGAAGAGTTCCATTTGTTTACGTTTTGACGTCATCAACACAGACCCACGTGCCATCTCCATAGCAGACGACGCAAATCACCGAACGCCGGACAAGTAAACTCGAAGAGTCCATCAAGATCAATGTTGTTGAAAATAGACAACATTTTATCGTTGTTTGGTAACAGAAACTGTATTGTTTAACCAACGATATCCTATATTAGACTGTCATGGCTCGTACTAAACAAGCCCCCAAACTGAAGTTTGAAAACAGCCAGTCATCCCTTCGGAAGTTACTAGTTACAAAGAGAAACCGTAATGCAGTACATAATCAATCAACACAAGTAAAAACTGGTGGAATTAAGACGCCCAGACGATGGAGAGCTGGTACAAAGGCTCTCAAGGAAATCAGAATGTACCAGAGAAGCACAGCTTTGGTAATTAAGAAACTCCCCTTCCAAAGACTGGTAAAGGGTATTGCTGCCAAAATCCAGTTGGGGCTGAGGATGCAGACGCCAGCTCTGCTAGCACTTCAGGTACAGTATCATCAACATGTCTAAACAGATTCTGAAAAGGTTTTAGTTTTTGTCAGAGGTTGATTATAGTTTATGATTGTCAATGTCATAGTGTGTCATTCTGAAAGAAAGTTACCAGATAACAATCAGATGAACAGAATTATCAGATAACTAGATAACAGATTCACAGTTCTAGATTCTTCTAACATAGATATTTAGGTGTGATATACACTGTTTAAAATTAAAGTTACATTATTGATCAAATTTTTGAAAAACTCTGTCATGTGCATTTTGTCACTTGTTTCTCATCTCTTATGTCAAAGCAGGGGATACTCTACAACAACTCTTATAGAGTCTCCCTGGTCAAAGGCAGTTTTAAAAAGAATTCTCAGTCAGGTGAGAATGAAAATATTCCTTATATTCAGCAATATTGCATAAAAAAAAAAAAAAATGCACTGACTGTGTTTTTAAAAATATTTTTTCTTCTCAGATATACATTATTTATAGCAATGGTTTTGATATTTCAAGCTGACATTCCTTTGAAACAGGAAGCCACTGAAGCATTTATGGTGGGTTTATTCATGGATGTCAATCTTTGTGCCATTCATGCTAAGAGAGTGACCATCATGCCACAAGATGTGAAACTGGCTCTGCGCATTAGAGGAGGACCAAACAGGAAGCTTTAGCTGGTCATAAGATGATCTGTTCTTTATTCACAAGTGTATGTATATTCCTTGGGTTGCAACCATTTGGAAGGTCACAATGTGATGTGTGTCTTGGTACACTGGTCATGACATGTTATGTATTTCAATTTGCAAATTTAAGAACACCAAGACTATGAATTGATCTACTTACAAGTGTATTCATACACAGCTATGTATCATAGTTTTAGTGTATCATATCTGGATTACATATTGTTATTGCAGACTGTGTTTTGTGTGTGTTGCATCTAAGAATCTGCAAAAACAAAAGGTTCAACATGCTGAAAACAAAGACGTGACTTACGTCATGATGCTCATGAACTGAGCTATTCTGTCCTTTTTACATAATGAAGTAATTATAATATGAAAGAATTCATGCTCATGATGAGTCATGTTACAAACATACCGGTATATTAATATGGTCTTATGAAGAACATTTTATTGTTTTCAACATCTCCATATAAGTGGATATATAGCCATAGTGACTGTAATTGGTACTTAATTGATTGCTGTTTTTTGTGTGTTGGTTACTTAACGAGATCAATAGATTAACAGATTGCTGTTTTTGTGTGTTTTTTACTATATATGTTATATGATTCTTAGAGATTCTATACTTAAAACTATGATGAATCAATAGAGGTGCTTAACACACTTAAAACTATGATGAATGAATCGAGGTGCTTAACACACTTAAAACTATGATGAATCAATAGAGGTGCTACACACTTAAAACTATGATGAATCAATTGAGGTGCTACACACTTAAAACTATGATGAATCAATTGAGGTGCTACACACTTAAAACTATGATGAATCAATAGAGGTGCTACACACTTAAAACTATGATGAATCAATTGAGATGCTACACACTTAAAACTATGATGAATCAATAGAGGTGCTGCCACCATTTACCTTGCAGTGATTGGTGATCAACAGTAATGTTTTTAACATATTTTCCAAACAGTCATGTATGATGTGTACTTCACATAATGTACTTCGAAAATAGTGCCACATGGTTCAGTAGCTCACATCTTCGAGGTCAGAAAAAACCCTCAATAGGTCTGCAGTTGTAAACGATGTTGAGTGCAAAATTCAATTGTGATGCCGAACATGGATGGATCTCATTCTAATCATTATCATTCAAATGAAAATTAAACCCCATGTTCAGTGTTTCTAAGGTATAACCATTTCAAATTTTAAGCAAATTTTCTTTCCAATTTTTTTTACAGACTTTTTAACAGTAGTTAGAAACACAATGCCCTGTAGCTCACTTTAATCATGAAGCTATAATGCTGGCTATGTATAAAATTACATTTGAATTCTCGGATTACCTTTAAGAGACAACATAACTGGGATCATTCATACAAAGTTTCAGTTCCTGGGCTTTGTATTTTCAGTGTTGCAAAACTGCACCAAAACGCATTATATGTTATTCTGCATACCACATACTTGATGCTTATCACATGTCCTCCATGCAGAAATTGCTGAGTGATGGACAATAATGATATTTTCAATATGGCTAAGTAACTGGATTGGAATTATGTTTTAGTGCCATCCGTGTTTGGAAAGTTTCAGCTCCTGGGCAATGTGGTTTCAGAGGAGATTTGACATTTACTCGGTTGAGTTGAAATGAGTAAAATGACACAAGTATTTTAACTCATGGTCACTCATAATGCTACATCTAGTGACAGTAATGGGTGTGGTTTTCTGTGAGCAGTCCGACCAAGTGAGTGAGTGAGTTTGGTTTTACGCCGCTTTTAGCAATATTCCCGCAATATCACGGCAGGGGACATCAGAAATGGGCTTCACACATTGTACCCATGTGGAGAATCGAACCCAGGTTTTCGGCGTGACGAGCAAAAGTCCGACCAAGGATAACAACAACAAAGCATATACATGGAAGATAGATTTATTAATGTTACAACACCAAAACAAATAAATATAAACAAACTTCAAAATGTACATGTCAATAACACATAAGATGTCTAACAATGGACAAGTATACACTGAATTTATTTTTTTCAAATCTCACTGAATTTCAAATACTACAACAAATGTGATAAAAATGTATCAGGAAATTATTTTAAAAATTTATGCATGCAGTTGATCATGGAAATTGTATCAGTAATAGATAACTAATAGATACAAAACATGCAAACAATGCTTTGAAACACTAATCTAATTTGATTTTAGCAAATGTCAAGTGGTACTAAATTAAAAATAAAGTTGCTCTTACAGCAACAATGAAGACAGCAATTTTGTCATATGAAAAGGATAATTATCAGGTAAATTCACATTCATAGGAAAATTGGGTTACATTCCATCTAGAATTACCATAATTTGGTTCATCAAGAAATTCAAAACAGAACTGGATTTAATCATATGATTTAGCTACTTTATTTCACAGAGGCTATCAATAGAATAATTTGGTTCTTAATCAACTCAATTTTGAAAAGCTGAAAATGTCATGTTTCATAATTCTGTACAGTCACTTTTGTAACAACCATATACTATATTGTATCTGTGGTAAAGAATTGCACTTAGGGTGGCAAGAAAGGAGAAATACAGCCAAGGTCTCTGTAGTTCATCTGCATCATTTTGTTTCATGTTTAGCTAGATACTATGAAAGGCAAAATAAGACTTATTGTATATGATATTTAAAGGTCAATTTGACACTAAATGCAGTATCTCCATTTCATATGAACAGTCTCTAGTCAAACTGTATCACATTATGTGAAGTCACAACAGACACAAAGTCAATACACTATCTCCCCTGGGCTGGATGGCCCTGGTGAGTTAACTTTTGTTGCTTGAATAGTATCCCACAGCTAAGAGTTGCAGCCACGCAACTCCTGACTTAAATGTATTGAACCTACTATCCTGATACAACAAAACTATGTTGTAAAAACATTAATAACTTCATTGCAATGGGTTACAGTACTGAGTGAGTTTGGTTTTACGCCGCTTTTAGCAATATTCCATAATATCACGGCAGGGGACATCAGAAATGGGCTTCACACATTGTACCCATGTGGAGAATCGAACCCAGGTTTTCGGCGTGACGAGCGAAAGTCCGACCAAGGATAACAACAACAAAGCATATACATGGAAGATAGATTTATTAATGTTACAACACCAAAACAAATAAATATAAACAAACTTCAAAATGTACATGTCAATAACACATAAGATGTCTAACAATGGACAAGTATACACTGAATTTAATTTTTTCAAATCTCACTGAATTTCAAATACTACAACAAATGTGATAAAAAATGTATCAGGAAATTATTTAAAAATTTATGCATGCAGTTGATCATGGAAATTGTATCAGTAATAGATAACTAATAGATACAAAACATGCAAACAATGCTTTGAAACACTAATCTAATTTGATTTTAGCAAATGTCAAGTGGTACTAAATTAAAAATAAAGTTGCTCTTACAGCAACAATGAAGACAGCAATTTTGTCATATGAAAAGGATAATTATCAGGTAAATTCACATTCATAGGAAAATTGGGTTACATTCCATCTAGAATTACCATAATTTGGTTCATCAAGAAATTCAAAACAGAACTGGATTTAATCATATGATTTAGCTACTTTATTTCACAGAGGCTATCAATAGAATAATTTGGTTCTTAATCAACTCAATTTTGAAAAGCTGAAAATGTCATGTTTCATAATTCTGTACAGTCACTTTTGTAACAACCATATACTATATTGTATCTGTGGTAAAGAATTGCACTTAGGGTGGCAAGAAAGGAGAAATACAGCCAAGGTCTCTGTAGTTCATCTGCATCATTTTGTTTCATGTTTAGCTAGATACTATGAAAGGCAAAATAAGACTTATTGTATATGATATTTAAAGGTCAATTTGACACTAAATGCAGTATCTCCATTTCATATGAACAGTCTCTAGTCAAACTGTATCACATTATGTGAAGTCACAACAGACACAAAGTCAATACACTATCTCCCCTGGGCTGGATGGCCCTGGTGAGTTAACTTTTGTTGCTTGAATAGTATCCCACAGCTTAGAGTTGCAGCCACGCAACTCCTGACTTAAATGTATTGAACCTACTATCCTGATACAACAAAATTGTATGTTGTAAAAACATTAATAACTTCATTGCAATGGGTTACAGTATTATAATTAGAGGCTTGAAAGTATCTTTGTCAATACTTTCTTGAATTCCTTTAAACAAATATATGTGTACTGACATATGGACCATTAGAAACAACAGAAAAACAACTCATAATACTGACTGAGTATGGTTTTACTCCATTTTTAGCAATATTCCAGCAATATCACGGCGGGGGACACCAGAAATGGGCTTCACAAATTGTACCCATGTGGGGAATCGAACCCGGGCCTTCGGCGTGACGAGCAAACGCTTTAACCACTAGGCTACCCCACCGCCCCCAACTCATAATAAATAATAAATACATTAACACTATATCCTCAATATCTACAACATGCTATCACAGTTGAAACCGCACAGTTATCATCATGTTGAATCCCAGTTATTGATAAATCATAGACTTTGATTATTTACACCACCGTTAAATATAGTTTAGATGACAATAATTAATCTATTGCACACAAACTATAATATACATAAATAACATAAAACTAATGTGTTTTATGTTAAGAACATCAAACCTAGCAAACATCAGCAGCAGAAGCAGTACATTCAATGAGTGAACGGACCACTGGTAAGGACAATTTTATGATGAGAGTGTATACAAGACTTGAATACAGATAAGCTGTCATTGACTGAAAATGTCACTGGTGATAAAGCAACAGAAAAATGATGTGATACATCATATTAGTTATACTTCAGAGACTGTTTTACAAGTACACAATACAACTTCAGCTTGAGGACAATTTGTTAAAGATCTTAATCACTTCACTGTAATATGTATAATCAATTGTTCGAAATTAAGGGTGTCTGGGTGTCAATGGGGTTCGCTTCTATAGTATTTGAATCCAAGAACCCTGTTTATATTTAACTTTTAACATTAGGGACAAGGATCCAAGCGTTTCATGCTTAATTTTGAACACTTCCATTAACATTTATCATATCTGTTTGTCATCTACTGTTCGTACATCATTTTTACCAAATACTTTCATAAAAGAGAATTACAGTTAAGAAAGACGGTAAAGGTTAATAATAATCTTTTTATAGGTGTTCCCATTTTGATGTGTTAATATTTCAGTCTTTCAATGATGGGCATATTGGAATAGAAGTGTTAAGAAATCTAAATTAATAGCGTTTTTTAGAATAATGTACATATGGTATGAAAGTACAAATGCAGATTTGTTCAAGTTCTCAACAAGAGCACATTCACATCATCCATACACATAATTCTGAAAAATACCGTTTACCTAAGCAGGATTACAAACCACAAGTGTTACTCCAAAACACTATTAAATGGAAGCATGTGCCATTGCATGTTTTGTAACCAAACATATGTTGTATCATGTTACATCAGACTGACAAGACAATTATGACATGCTTAAACACAACATGATGGTATGGAATATAGACAATCTAAACTAAAATTTACACCGACTTATTCCTGTGACCTTAAAGAGCATCACATGATGCATGTGATGATTGTTCGGTGGGGACAAAATGATCAGTCACAACCTGTTGTACCATTGTGACATAATGTCATGTGAATATACATTTGTATACTAGTATATAATTGAATAAGAAATTTCAGAACAGTCATCTGCAACAATCATAAATAATTTTCATAGGGAAAATTTTAGAAATTGAATTTTGTGATAGGATTTACAGCGAAGGATGAATGGAGACGTAACATTGTTGGTCCTTATTTAAGTTGACATTGGAATAGTTTCATGTCAGGAGATAGCACACTTTGTACAAAGGGTCATGCAACAAGTACAAGAATACATTATTTTCAAGATGATTTAACATGAAAGTAATCCTTATCCCTTTTTGTGATGGTCATAATAAACCATTTCACACATCACAGTAGTTTTCTCTCAAGGGCATTTAAGTACCCGGACCATATGAATGTTTCACGGCTCCACATTTTGATATATACACTGTGCATTTCTTCTAATCATGTATTTAGCAAACTAATTGCATACTTCTGAAAATTATTACCCTCATATTATGCTAATGAAGCTTCAATCTTATCCCAATGTTGCTAGCTTCTATTTTTCATTTACCTCTGTTTTCATTTGATTTGTTTGTAATGTAACTAGACCCTAATATATGCTAACAATGTCAAATGTTTTTCTCCAGCTTAAACTAAACTATCTATGCTCTCAGTTTGAGCATATTTTTTCACAGAATGAACATAATGGCTAAGTTGAATGAGGTAAAAATCCTCAAGCAAGATACATAGATATTGGTCTTCATTTCAGAAATAAATGAAAGAACCTAAAACATTGATATACCTATCTATTCAGTATCTATTTGTATATATACTGGGACCTTTCATTTGGGATTTCCTCCTTTGATTAGCAATAACACGTGGATATGTTTTGCAGCCTTTGATACAGGAAATCCTAAACTAATGTCTAGCTACTGTTTTGTATATATTTCCAAAGTTGCATAGCTTGTCAAAGCTATCATAGCATTAAATAACTCTCAGTACCCCTTGGTTCAGTGTCATGAATCTTTTCCTCACTTTTCATTTACATAACTTCAAGTTGACTTATTCATATGAAACTCCTATGATTACCCTTCTCTTGACTCTTTGTAGTATACAGTATGATCTGTCACAATGGAAAACATATTCACATATATTCCAAGAATAAGTTTTTTCAATTGTATTGATAACACATATCTCTAAACATTGATGAAATAACTGTCTTCCTTCAGCTGTGTAAGAAATAAAACTCACTTCCTCTCGCTGCCAAAACAAGTTTCAGTATACGCAAATTAAAGAGCCAGTTTCTTTTGATGTGTCAGTAGGGAACTACAGTGGGAATAAACTTGATCAAGAAATTCACATAAGTTAATCCCAGACAGGGATTTAAGTTTTTCACCTATAGCTTATATATATTTACAATATTATGTAAGACTTTCACAAGAACAGGTAAATAGATTGCAGTGTTCCTAATCAGTTTCCTTTTTCAAATAGCACAAATTCTTGAACAAGACCATAAACATTTCAGCTCAAGCTGGAATCCATTCCGTACAGCTTGCACACACATTTCATTATGCCATGACAGCTGTTGAGTGATGTCAGTCGTCCTGTTGATCATCTCGATTAACGGACATGTCAGAGTCCACAGGTCTATCCATTGCTCCATAGGATGCTGCTGTCCAGGAACTATTCCCGTTGCTCTCCTCTCTCTCCAGCAGCACACCAGCAACAAATGGCTGCAAGAAGTTGTTTCAGATTTAACGTAGTTATCAACTACTTATAAGATTTTTGTGACCTTACCAATCATAATTCACAATTAAAAGCAAATTTGCTGGAATTAGAACAGGCATACCAATGTATACCAACAAAGCAATCAAACTATGGTGGCACACACTTTAAACAGAAATGGAGACACAAATCACAAATGAGCCATAATACCCATAAAGAGTGAAACATAGTGATCAAAACTTGCCACATCATCAATGAAACCAAACACAGAAAATCACTGTTGATGCAACAAACAGGTGCTCCTGCATTTGTTTTTGTGATCTCTTTCAATGTTTTTATACCAACCAATACTCCCAAATGAGTATAGAGAAGATTCTCATCTTGAAATACATGCATATACAAGATAATCTTGAAATGCATTACAATTCATGATTGTTTTGATAGTCAATTACTTTAAACAACATACTTATAAAGAACTTTTTCAACTCCATTTTAGATCCAGAAAGTAACAACTTACAACACTCTATGGATAATCTATCCCAAGTAAATGTCCTCACCCAATGGCATGAATGGCCTCATTGAGAATCACCTTCCCCAACTTCTGATGAAGACTTTACAATATACATACCTTGGGGGCTCCTTCTCCTGCTGCAGAGTCATCAGTTGCAAAGTGCTGAAATAGTCAATGTTTTCCCTCTTAGTAAATCAGTTTTAAGAGATGTAGAGGTAGAAATTGATTTACATATACATATTTACTGAACCTTCTGAATGTTGTTATTTAAAAGAAATGTTCACATTTTGTCTAAGGGTCATTTCAAAGCTGTGCATTTCTCTTGTCATGCAAGTGTTGTGTCAAATTTCAAAAAGTAACTGACAGTTGCAAAACATTCAGTAACATTGAACTAATATTTATTTTAGAGAACTTGTAATTGCATTTAACAAACAAGAGAAAATAAAAGTGCTGATCATTAAATCAGGAATGATATTATATGTTGTACAGTACAAGCATGTTTGTGACAGCATTTAATGTACTATGAAGTACTAGTAATATCAATATGAATAGTGGCACATTGAGGTCTTATGAATAAATGTTTGTGCAACAGGTACATACAGGGGCTGATATTACTATAGGAAAGTGGGTTTGGAAACCTGTTATTGGCAGGTTACCATGATAATATTATCAAGTTGTGAAAATATTATCAACAGAGGCATAACAAGGTACTATCTAGAGATAAATGTAAGTGCAAAAATTACAGATTGGAGTCAATGTTATTGGAGAAGATAGTGGGGTTTAGGATTCGAAACAAAGTAACCTTGGCAAGCAAATTCAAAATTGGGACTTTTGAAAAAGTTCCTATTTTCCCTTAAATTGAGTGGTTGTTTAACATTGCATTCAATGCAACAGTGTTAAACTATCCATTAAAGCCTCTTCCTCTATATTGGTCATGTTATCAGTGAAATAATGTCGTATTACAAAACCACAACATTAGTAATAAATACAACAGCATGTCTTATATTCCAATTTTAGAAAATTTATTGACGTTCTGCAGACATAGTAAGTGAGTGAGTTTAGTTTTACGCCGTGCTCAGCAATATTCCAGCTATATGGCGGCAGTTCTGCAGACATAGGATGAAACTGGAGAACAGTTAGTAATTTTAATGTCATTAAAACCTAATGATGAATATAATCATGTATTATTCTTGCATTTATATACAAAAATGAATGCATAACATTGAGATTAAAACACCTCCTTGACATGAACAAGAACACAGGTATAACTAGGGTAGGGTGAGGATAATAATAGTACCACAGCTGTGAAAAAAAATAGACAGTCCTGTACAAAGAATATTCAACCTGGACCGTTCCTACATTTGCAGGTACATACTGCAACTTCTGTACTACATTTTGGTGATTCACCTCCCCAACCAAAACAATGAAAACATCACCAACCTGGTACTCAGAGAAATCAGGCCCATCTAAGCCAGTCTGTCCAACGAGTGGCAAAAATGAATAGTCATAGATGTGAGTGAGTGGTATGACTGTTAACATCTGACCAACAAACACATACACCAACCACCGGGTTACACCAAGCATCACAAGGGAGCTTACTCTAGCTGGGTAATATACACAACCTCCAGATTTCTTACCTCGTGTACTGAATTCAGACAATATGTTTTCTTTTCATAATGTTTGCAGTAATGTTATCTGTAATTTGTATGTGCCTATTCCTATACTCTGTGTTGCAATGTTCTTATTCCTTGTACAAAGAAGAAGGATGAAAAGATCTGATATATACTTTTATCAGATAATTTATGTGTACACTTGTACTACTTTATGAAAAAAAGATTTGGTTCTTTTTAAAATCCAAACCAGGATCAAGTGTTAATTCTCTCCATTTCTTGTGATTTCTAGTGCTGTGGAAATACACTGATTTCAAGCCATGCACAAATTTTCATGCACTAATTTCCTTCATTCACTGTAGGTGTAAAACTGGCTTCTCAGACCAGACTGTCTTAGATACTTGTATGATTGCACCATTATCCAAACTGCATGATTGACTTACAATTACTGCTCCTCCTGTTTCGTATTATAATTGTTATATTTGCATTAACGTATTCTGTGAATTAACTCAGAGCATCCAGAATTAGATTTTTAAATTTAGCTTAAGAAAATGATACTTTAAAAATATGGTGATGGTTCATACATAACTTTTGATACTTTTGATAATATCCTGCAGGAATGTCACACTACATCTTTGAGTGGCATTAATATACCATGTGTAGTGAAATTGTTGCAGTTTGAAAAATAATTCACAGATTAAAAAGACTCCAAGAGAAGGAGTCTTGTACAAGTCTTTACAGGAGACTGAAGCAAGGTGACTGGGTAGGAGCAGGTGAAGGGTATGGGGTAAATTAGGTGACACAGAGAACAACTCTTACAACAGACTCTCCACCATATACCATAGCGTTATATTTCTACAAAGCAGACCAAATGGCTGGACATAAACACAATGCTATTGAAAATAATAAGTCTACTATCAAATTTTGATTACAGACAATGGTTATCAAAATCAAAGAAATCTGAAGTGAATACATGCAGAGAAACAATATTAGAGAAATGTGTGTGAAAAATATGTTCAGATACAATCAACATTATAGATATTTCCCACAAGTATCAATCTCAACGCTTATAATTATCACAGCTTAAATTAATACTGATGACAATTTTGTGTTAAAACCATTTCCCCATGGACACAGCCACCAATTCTAGGCTATATGGTTATAGAGTTATACTCAAAACACCACTATTATCATCTCCATCAGGGCTCTACTTACACAGTCATCTGGTTATATACCAATGGAATATGACTTTGCTGACAGATAATTTGCTCAGTAAGGACAAATTACTTCACTCTTCCAGCATAGACAATACATTACACTGGCAGTATTTCTGAGGACAATCTGTAGGAAATTATCAGATTAGGACTCGTATGAGTGTATTACTCACCCTGTATTTGATAGGACTGAGGTGTTTGAACCAGCCAAAGCCAATCCTGCCACTGAACACAAGGAGCGTGATGAATAAGGCCACACAAGAGAAGATGAACACCGGACTGGTGTAGCCTGAAAAAGGAAAGATTAAAGTGACTGCAGTATCTCTGATATACATTTAGTATGGTACCTTAACCAATATATGTTCTAACATCTTTATCAAATCCTTGAAAGAGACAGTTGGAAAAAGTAGAATTCCACATATTTTGTTTTTTAATCGAATTACTGGTTTTAAGTGTAATGAAGGTATGACAAGTCTAAATATCAGTTATCGAGTCCACGATATTGTTACTTCTGCCTGGAGAGAGGCAATAATAAAAATATCTAACAAATGACATTAATGTTATTATCAGCCATTCAAAGTCTGTTACTAGTGATGTGCAAACAAAGTAGTCCAAGTTCTCACCAAACTGAAGACACACATCTTTATTGCATCTTAAATTATATTGCAATTCCAAAATATTTGTCTATAGTCCTATGCAAGACAATTCATAGATCAAAAGCACTTATGAGCATTAATGATTAACTGGATGTAAACTCTTTGTAACTATATATTTATCATATATATCAATATATAACTTTATTTTTCTTTGGTGTATCATGTTACCACTGAGATCTGTTATACCTGCTCGAAGCCCAGTGAAGAAGACGATGTTGACTTGCAGCAAGATGACCGATATGACCACAAAGTTTATAGCTGAGGCATGTATGTGCTTGTTGATTTTAGAAGGTTTGTAGGCAAAATATATGTTGTATCTATCTACCAGGTGCTTGAAGCCAAGGTAAACTAAACCTGCAAAATGACAAAGACAGAACTTCAGAATGCTGACCATACTCAAGCGTGACAGATACATGATCAAATACTCAAGCTGGTTATCCACCCCTCTCACAATATGCAGATCGATAATCTTAAAGAGATCATTAACCCGATCAAGTAATCAGTAGAATTCCACCAGTATGTTGTTACCAAAAATTTTTATGTGGGCAATAAGGGGACACAATCGTAAAGTTTAATTTGATGCTTCATTTGTTATGAATATCGATTAGTCTCCCGAGCCAATCAATAATCGCTGACACAAGCGAGATTGGTTGATTGACCAATTATTCGATCAATCGCTCCAACACCATCAAATACCATGGCAATACTGCCTCCTGACAAATCATACCCTAAAGGATGTTGGATATATTTTCTTGTAATATATTATACGTAAAAATATTTAACATCAATATATGAGGTGCTTAACAGTTAAAGAAACAAACATTACAAGAGATCTATTATACAGTTACATATACATAGAGAAACAAATAAAGGAACACAGGAAATTCCAAGCGTTCCTTTATTATTTTCCAGTTTTCATCACCATAGTGCTATTCAAAGCTGGTGATGAAAACTAGAAAATATAAAAGGAACACTTGAATTTTCCAGTGTTCCTTTATTTGTTTCTCTACGTATATATATAAGCTGAGCTTAGGGATTAGAACTAGTTCAAGAATGCACAAAGGGGAGGGTTAAAATGACTGGGAAACATATCTTACCAAAAGGAGTCACTAGAGGACATGGTATACTGTATGCAACAGTGATGGCGAATATACACAGCATCCACGCATACTGGCACCCAAACTGGAAGTCCCATAACACATTCTGGAAAACCACAAAAATATTCATTTGAAAATATCTTGTTAATAAACCCTTTTGTCTTCACAAGTGACAAAGAGTGATTAACTTGATAACAATACAAACACATTTCAAAATGAATGGAAAAGTTGTATACAAACCCTACCTTCCTAACAGCAGACTTCTCAGCAGCTGATCGAGCCATGCATAATTTGATGACATACAAAAAACAGCTCAGAAAATCGGATGAGATGTAGGGCAGTGCCAATAAATCCAGCTGTTGTCACGTAGTTGACAAAGAAAGCACCATTGCCGGACAGAAAAATGCATCTGAAACAAGCAATATTTATGTTACCATTAAAAGTTAAGGGACATGTGTTCTCAGTAATTAAACAGTGAAGTATCGATTGATCACTTCCTAACAGTACATCATAGTAGATAGTTCAGATTGAGGAGCTCATTACACAGACTTCTGTTAGTTGTAATTACAGGTACATGTCAGCAAATCAGAGTATTTATTTCTAAATGAGTCATACTTACTCCCATCTCATCGTCTGGTTCTTTTCTGTCAGGGCCCACTCAAAAAAATGCCTTTGCACTGAAAAAGATTTTTCCTCTTCAATACATTTCATTATCAAGAAACTTAACATTATTGGAAAGATGTGCTTGATTGAGTATTTAGTTTTAAAATCTGTATGCTACATTTGTAATCATGTGTAGGTATGAAGCAAGTTACTATTAACCATGTTTCCTGTGTTTTTATTCTAAATTTAATTTAGTGCTGTTAAACCACTTCCGTGGTGTAGTGGTTAAAGCCTCTGCTGGAGAGCGGAAGGTCGCGAGTTCAATCCCCGACCACGTCATACCAAAAGACGTTAAAATATGGTACTTGTTGGTCCCTGCCTGGCGCTCGGCATTAATGGGTACAACAAGGACTGGTCGGCTTGGAGTCAGTGTAATGTGTCTGAGTGGGGTATTCATGCATCACTGCGGCATGGTATCTCAGTGGGCTAGCACTATAAACCCAGCTTCAATCTGGGCTAGTACAAGCAGCCGCACATACACATACACACGCATGCACGTCGTCATATGAGTGAAATATTCTCAAGCAAGACGTTAAACCCAATTCTCACCTTTAGTGCTGTTAAATTTACAGAAACATAGCTCTACATTGAAAATACAACATATACATCTTCTAAGCGATATTCCTCAGGTGACCATGATACCTTCATGTCCAGCTCATGACAATGTGGCTATAACAGATGAGTATAGTTCTGCAGTACCTGGTGAGTCCAAGAGATGGGAGAATAAGAACCATCAACAGCAAGAAGATAAAGGTTTTCCTCATCACTGCATGGTGCTCCGCTGTCCTGAAGTTACAAGCACATGTTGCTCACTAATTTTATTGTTTTGAACACAAGAAATACTACTTCTTATCTAGTGTCAACATGACACTTAACTTTAGAGAGAAGTGGAGTTAAGTTATTAATTAATAGAACTCACAGGGCTAACATATCAGAAATGTGTGACAATCAATATATTAGCGTATCAGAGATCAGTAATTTTGTCAATTTGCTTCATGGGCACTTACTGTTATCTTAACTTGGAACTATTATATTATTGGAACACATTTTCATTAAGCTCTAGCAACTGAAAAACGGCAGCAAGACTGATTGTAAGGACGGTAACATGAAAAAAAAGTATGGACAACTCATAACTGACAAAAGAGTGAACGTGTAAAAATGAACTCACTTCGTCCAGTGTCCAAGGTACTGGTCGGAATAGTAGACAAGATTGGGCAGCAGTGACGAGAACAGCAGCAGCAGCATGGTGGGAAGGAACTGCACCAACAGGGGACTCTGGAACAAAGACAGCAGATAGTGGAAGGCCACTTAGATGGATAAAGGAATCTATTTTATAACATATGTGTTATATGTTTACAGCCGTGGTGCAATATGTGTTATATGTTTCCTAAAAGAAATCCTAAACCAAATCCTAAAAGATTTAAAATAGATCTACACACAAGGAATTTGATGGAACTAGTAGTGATAATGAAGACAGTGCTTTAAGAATTTCTTTATATAAAATATATTTAAATAAGGCACTTAATTATGTTAAAGATTGTTAAATTGTGCTAATACAATTAAGACATATAATTTCCATATTTAAAATACAACACTAACATTACATTTCACAATCAGCTGATACATACATGTAGATCTTCAAATGCTTTCTTGTAGTTGAACTGATCCATGACATTGACGAGAATGGCTGGTGTGGTGAGGAAGAAGAGCAAGAAGACCAGGATGGTGTTGATGAGGATAGCTCGCAGCCACCACTGCCACGGGGCAATAGACAGGTTCTCCCTGGTATATACAGAGAGTAATGATCAGCAAGGAATATGGATAACATAACTCATATTAACATGCATTAATGTATGTTAAGACATATGTATATTGCTCCTGGCAAAGACTGTTGTTTTCAAATTCCATAGAAGAAAAAATCGTGTAGCTGGAGTTTAGTTTAACACATTGTCAAATCACTATGGCTTAAAGGGATGTCTAAGAACTTTCAAAAAGGTTATTCGCCAAATTCAGATATATTCAAGCATATTCAATCCTGTTCAAAATTGTAAAACAAAATGAAATACAAATGTTGCAGTATTTCCATGGCATCTGAAGGATGTGACAAACAAACGCACCTTCCAAGGTGACTTGCCAACATCTTGTAGAATTTTCAAAATGTTAGAGGGACAAAGGATAGAAGGCCACCAATGTCTTGACCAGTAGCTCTTATTTTCTTTAAATGCAAAATACTGATATTGATGGTCATCTTTATCATGCTCAAATGGGTTTGGAAGGAGGCTCTTCATACGATTTACTCGTAAGATGGTTTCTAAAATCCTGAAATCTCACCAATAAATATTTTCTGGCGCAGGAGCAAATTTGACCTGCCAGTCGTGGACGTTGAGTTCCCAGTACACACTGGACGTCTGGGGGTTGTGGGAGCCTTTACAGTTAGCACGGAAATCAGCTCGGATCCTGCAATACACAAACCTTGAGCTTTCAGAAACAGCCCACACACCATCCACCAATAAAACCAATTGTACATGAACATAACATTCACAACAAAATATGTCCCCTTCATTTCATAATTTTTTCTGATAAGTGGAAACAACCTCAGTGGAAATCCACTGGCTTTCATATCTTTATGTAAGAATAATGTTCAGTCAGCAATTTTCTTACAGATTGATAAAACATGAACTTTCAAAGTCATATCAATCCTAATGACGTTAAGTTGGGCTACCAATGTGTCACGTGACTCACTTCTCCGCCATGTGATCCTGCTGGAAGGTGACAAAGGCAATCCCCAGGGCTACCTGGTAGGCTACAGCCTTCTCTTTGTCACACATCTCCGTGAGGCTCCGCTCCTCATCAGTATAGTAGTCTATAGCATCAACCTAGAAGAGGCAGAACAGAAGAACCCATGAACTCAGTCCAACAACGTACTGATGTTACAGGAAAATGGAGGGGAAGGCACATTCAATCTTTATCATATACTTGTTAAAAGGAGACCAAAATCAAATAGAAATGTTGCATTGTTTCCATATCATCTGATTGACTAACAATGGTACTATTGTGTATTTATGTCTCCATAAGCCAACAGAAGATAGGCTACGCTAATCTGTGGACTTCTGTGTTCTGATTGGCTCGTAATAGAATAGGCAGGGTTTGAGCTGCATTATTGTAACAGATTCTGTGTTGTTGACAACAGTTATTTTGACTTTTATGATAAAATAAATACAGAGATGCCAACCCTAATTTAGCCCAATTAGTATTTTGGCCAAAAAACTGATGCAAAAATTGGTATTTTGGGGGGAAAAAATCAATATTAACCTTACCAAAGAATTTTCATATTTAATACAAAATATATAGATATTCTAAAAACTTGTTGTTAACATTGTACTCACCTAAATCAGTAGTAAGTATACACATATTGCTTGATACTAAATTCAATTTAATGTATTTTAAAAAAAATTCGTATATTTTTACTGCTATCGTAGTCGCGTATTTTGAGTTGTTTTTTCATAAGGAATACGATAAAATCGTATGAGTTGGCATGTCTGTAAATAGTCTGTCTGACATAATAATTCATCACACTTGACTTCAGTATATCTTATCATGTCAAATACATTTTTCAGGAGCATATGTGATAAAAAACACTGGATATAAATGCATATATTCACTGTTGGATCTATTAGGGGTTCAGGAAGTACAGCACACACTACTCTACTCTATGTCTTACCAATCACATCATGTAATGCTCTGTGGTTCTAAACCCTACCTGTTTACAACAACAACACAGCATGCCACACATGTGAGGCCTCATTAATGGGCGTGTATTTGTCTTTTTCAGCTCTGCTTCCGAGAAGATCCTCGCCTCCGCTGCCAGTTGTCTTTGAAGGATGAAAACTACAGTGTTAGTGACCAAATTATCAACAGGAGGATTTGATGATACGTCATTAAACTGGTGAGGTTAATTTGTGATCAGTTATACTGTTATAGCGTCTAATTCAGGACAACCATCATCCAAATATTTAGACAAAAAACTATGTAGCCAAGCCACGTGTGACTTAATTGTAATTACTCTATGTGCAATCTTAATCCTTATCTCTACTGCAGTGTACATTGTCTTGTCAGGCCACCCTGTACCACTCTGTCACTGTCATTGATTATTGTATATGACATTTATTGCCTTAATTGGTCACTCCCCTTGGCCGTGTCTGCCATCACATCAACTGGCCAAGGAAGAACTGGTGGAGAATCCGGGTTGTTGTCAACGCGTAGATATGTCGAGAAGGACACATGTAACAAGGTGAACTTGTGTAAGCATCACTGCCTTAACCAAATATGTGGAATTCCGGTTAAAAGCCAGGGAATGAAGAGAGTCTCACCTTGCCTTGTCCATGGTGATGAGTGAAGAGATATTATAGGCAAATGACACATCGATCACAGCCACTTGGGGATACGCCTCTCTGGAAGGCAACAAAGGGAGAGATCACTACACTGACTAGCTGACATGCTGGTCTTGGCAATGCCAAAATGAAAACTAACCAATATGTAACTATTAATAATACTCAGTCAGTGACATATCTTTCATCTTATTTTCAGTTATTGAGCGTTTAGTCAGCCTTTCAAGTGATAGACACAGTAACTGACAAATGCTGGTGAAATATATTGTATATTCGGCTTGACAAAGCTGACTGTCAATATAATTTTTGCACTTTACAACACAAATATTTAACTCGTAATATTGTATAATAATTATTCAACGTTCATTGGTGGTTTCTAAACCAAAGCTATTATAAACAGAATAACAGTCCCATGATGTGTCACCAATGGCTACATTCCAAGGAATACATCCATGAATTTAATCAATGTAAACTTAGAAACTTGGTGGGTGTTCTGAATAACTTCTTTAGTTTACCTTTACCAGTGTTTGGACAAGGTCTCTTTTTGGCCAAACTTGACCAAGGGAGATAACTCTGTGCAGTATACACATGGACATTCATGATACATGGAAGAAGAACACTAGGTAATCTCTTCCTCTGATGTGGTATCCTACCTGAAATGTTGCTTCATGATATTTGCGAAGCATTTGTTGGTGGGGATGTTGGATATCATCAAGGTACGAGATACCTGAAGGAAAACATGACATACTTTGTTATTTTGAAAACAGCATTATAATATTTATTGGTTACTCCATATGTGAAAACATGTTGAAACTAGAGCCCTCATACTGCCATTATTCATAAAAGGGTTCACCATCTCAAAACACCATGTACGTCAGAAGGTCTATAATCTGAGAATTATCTCTGCCAATTATCCATGTGAATATATCAGACACACAATATACTTCTGTCATACCAGATAATCAATTTCAGGGAGATATAAAAATACAGTTCAGGGATAAGAGAAGTCTCTGATAAGTAGTTTCAGCAAAGTGATATTTTCTCTGTTGTGATCATATCAGTTTCCTGTAACATTTTCAAAACTTAAAGAAACTCAGTCTTTCACACTTAAGTATATAATCAGTTACCAGCCTGCAGTAGTCCTAATGTCATTGTCCAAATCAGGTGACATTCACACAGATGGTGTTCAGGTTACTCACTTGTTCATCCTCATCAAACTCTAGGTTGACAGAGAAGTGTCTGAGCATGAAGACGACCAGCAACAGGTAGATGACAGCCAGTAGGGCATGTACCCACAGCAGGGGCGAGCTGAAGGGCAAGGTCAATACAGTAATACATGTACCAATATTGATACACAGATTCACCCACAGCAGGGGCGAGCTGAAGTACAAGGTCAATACAGATTCACCCACAAGGCGAGCTGAAGTACATAAATACAGTAATACATGTACCAATATTGATACACAGAGCGAAGGAGCTGAAGCACACAAGGTTGATCACCCACAGCAGGGCTGAGCTGAAGTACAAGGTTGAAGGGCCAAATACAGTAATACATGTACTAATATTGATACACAGATTCACCCACAGCAGGCGAGCTGAAGTACAAGGTTGATACAGTAATACATGTACTAATATTGATACACAGATTCACCCACAGCAGGGGCGAGCTGAAGTACAAGGTCAATACAGTAATACATGTACTAATATTGATACGCAGATTCACCCACAGCAGGGGCGAGCTGAAGTACAAGGTCAATACAGTAATACATGTACCAATATTGATACACAGATTCACCCACAGCAGGGGCGAGCTGAAGTACAAGGTCAATACAGTAATACATGTACTAATATTGATACACAGATTCACCCACAGCAGGGGCGAGCTGAAGGGCAAGGTCAATACAGTAATACATGTACTAATATTGATACAGCAGATTCACCCACAGCAGGGGCGAGCTGAAGTACAAGGTCAATACAGTAATACATGTACTAATATTGATACACAGATTCACCCACAGCAGGGGCGAGCTGAAGTACAAGGTCAATACAGTAATACATGTACTAATATTGATACACAGATTCACCCACAGCAGGGGGCGAGCTGAAGTACAAGGTCAATACAGTAATACATGTACTAATATTGATACACAGATTCACCCCCACAGCTGAAGTACAAGGTCAATACAGTAATACATGTACCAATATTGATACACAGATTCACCCACAGCAGGGGCGAGCTGAAGTACAAGGTCAATACAGTAATACATGTACTAATATTGATACGCTGATTCACCCACAGCAGGGGCGAGCTGAAGTACAAGGTCAATACAGTAATACATGTACTAATATTGATACGCAGATTCACCCACAGCAGGGGCGAGCTGAAGTACAAGGTCAATACAGTAATACATGTACCAATATTGATACACAGATTCACCCACAGCAGGGGCGAGCTGAAGTACAAGGTCAATACAGTAATACATGTACTAATATTGATACACAGATTCACCCACAGCAGGGGCGAGCTGAAGTACAAGGTCAACACATGTAACAATCATATTACTAATATGGTACACCGTCCTACAATTGCTGGAAGGACAGCTGAGTCGGCTTGTGTCAGATTTTGTATTTGCTCTTGCTGTGGTCCTCACTATAAATTACCAGATAGACCCATCCTAGATTACTGAAGGTATCATATGTCCATTTCATTATGACATATAGCCTTGACCAAATTTACCATAATAGTGTTGTTTTCTATTTTAATATATATTTCAGACACTAAAATTAGCTACCCGATGAAATCACACACATGAGCAGAGAAATTCTGTGAGAAATTACAGAATATATAGATGGAGATTGTGTCATTATAGCCAATGGAACTACGGTATGTGCAAGAATAGATGGAAACATAATAAACTGGTAGGTCCAAAAGCAATCTTCTGCCAAATAGGTTTATTTCTGACAGGTTTATTATTGTCAAGAGAACCATTCTGAAAATACATGTATTCCACAACTTATGATTCACAGTGTCTAAGAGAGTCTTGGCGCCCTTCAACCTTGGCCAATGACAATCAACATCATCAGTGTTTTGCTTCTAGCCCCCATTATGGCCCAGTAGACCATCCCGGGAGGACGACAGGCAAAAACAACTTGTATTGCCATGTGGACAATAATCTGTCTGGTCCGATGAGCCATGAAGAGTGCTCACCGAGACTCTCAGACAGCACACACGATGGCAGAAATCAATATCGAGAAGCAAACTTCCATCCCAAATTGGCCCTGTTAGGTAATTGATGAGTCTGTTAATTATTACTGATGCTATCCTGTGCACTTGGCTCGTAGAAACACCCTGAACAGTCCATGATCTCCAGAATGGCCAGTACTGGTGGAAACAGACGGCATGACATAGCATTCGAAACTATTGGCTGAAATTATTATATAGACAATGGGATAGCCTGCACCTTCCACAAGAACTTAAAACAGATTTGAATAAATCTCTTGACAATTAATACCACAGAATGGATTGTATATCCAGACTTCCAATATATTACATCAGAATTCCCTTCTAGACCTCCAATACAACCCAACATCACATCACTTACTCGGACTCGATGTTGCCAATGGTGGTATGGCCAAAGTCAGACGCATTCCCAACTGAAACAACAAACATTAGTGAAGTAATGCACATTTACACAGTATCGGCAACACTATAGCTATGGAATCTTTATCCAATAAAATCTAAGCTTCTTACAACTGTGAAAATTACTCTCAGCAAGGGTATAGAGATATTGTTGATGTTCAGAGCTTTTCGAGCGATATCAAACCATTCAGCCAAGATGTTATTCATATACGCATGTTATTCATCTGAGAACGGAGGTATTTTCCATTGTTGTGTCATGTTACCGCGGAAAGCCACTGATATCGGGGAAATGGACCGTACATATTATTTAAGAAATCTTCATAATATAAACATTTCTGAAATAATATGTATGGTCGCCTATAAAGATTTCTTAAATAATATGTATGGTCAGCCTATTTCCGATATCAGTGGCTTTTAATAATTTTCTGGATTACGTAAAATGAAAATATAAAGAAAATGGCAGCGGGGATGTTATGACATGTCACAAATGGAAAAAATTGCCATAGTTTTTGCTTCTTTTGTGATATTTCTGGAAATTATAAATGCTTGAATTTTCATTAAAAACTCAATTTATTTAGGTTGTAGTTGTATTATTTGAAAATAAATTTCATATTTATCAACAGTGGGATTAGATCTTTTAATTTTGCTGTATATCTAGAATCCAAGTTGCAACATTAAATGTCATTAACAATTTAGTTATATGATGCCATTGGGATTTAAAAATGTCAAAAGAGCTTTAGGTCAATGGCCTATTGCCAGACACCCACTCAGGACATTTGTCCTACTGATTTTATAGGTTTTCAAAATCACTGTTAATCCTGAAAATTCTGGACTGGTAATCTTTCCAGGCGGTCTGGTAACTTTTGAGAGTTACCAGACCAGTTGTTCATTGAAATTTTGGGGAGTTTACAACACTGATAATGTCACACATAATATCATACATGCTCAGCTTCCCTTACTGCAAAAGTGAATCTGGTACCAGAACTATGACACCATCTCTAAGACACCTCTTGTGACAGGCATACTTTGAACTTTATCTGATCCAGAACAGGATTCTACTGAGATGCAAAATGTGAATGGCAGCAAAAACTTTAAGTCTTGTTGACTGTGTTTGAATCAGTAAGCTTATCAAACTTGTAGACTGCATGTTACATGTAACTGATATTTCTATTTTGGAAAGAAATACACTCAATTTTAAGTTGTCAGTGGGTGATTTTCTTCAGTTAAATATTAGAACCCCATCTGTCACTGGCTTAAGGTACCTGTGTATGTGCAATGATAGGACACCAAAACAATGTCAGAAATGAAATGTTAGAATGTTGGAAATGAACTGAAGTATGCCTGAATGGGATCCCCATATTCATGAACTGGATGCACAAACTAAAAATGTATTAAAGTATCCTCAACTCCAGACTGATAGATACAGATCAACCTCAGTGTGATCAGCATGAACAGGTTCTTATCAGACATCGGCACTTATGCTTTCAATCACATCAGTTTACTTCAAACCAAATGCATTCTTATACAATGACTTTCTAGATCTGATACTGTGGTGATATGAAACAATTTTCAGGAAAAAGGCAATGAGGGGGGTATATGCGTAAGACATAGCTCTGTTGATCTGCTATTGCAATGTCCTTGTACTAAAGTGACTGATGGCAGTGATACTCACTGATGTGTCCCTGGAAGTTGACTGGCAAGACAACAGCGATGGACAACACGCAGATGACAACCAGGTACACCAGTAGGTACCTCTGGAAGGACAGATACTGCACGGCATCCCTCCCGCACTTGTGAAGGATGTCGATATCTCTGTAAAACACATCAACAACACACTGATACAGAATACAAATAGGAACATATTACTGGGCGGGATTCCACCAACATTTGCTGAACCCAAATGTTCCCTAACGTTAGTGAGTGAGTTATTTCCTTAGAAAAAAAAGAAGTATATTTTGATAGCAAGTAACAGTGTAAATTTTGACAAACTCGTCAATTTCTAGTGAAAAGTAGTAATTCTAACGTCAACGATACATATCACAATACGAAAAAAGTATTGATATATTTATCGTCAGAAAATGTATCACGATTATCGATACTGCGATATATCGTCACAGCTCTAGTGAAAGGCGCCCATATTAGAACTACATCATTACAGCCTCACATAACAAATGGTTGATAGTACGAGCATTGTTCTACACAGTCCAGGTCAATATTGTAACCCTTCAAAAGAAAATTCTTGAAGTTCCAAGAAGCCCAACTGACGAACAGTCGTCTTTGATAATCTTTAAGACGCTGGAAGAACATAATGAGTGAGTGAGTTTAGTTTTACGCTGCTTTTAGCAATATTCCAGCCATATCACGACAGGGGAAACCAGAAATGGGCTTCACACATTCTACCCATGTGGGGAATCAAACCCAGGTTTTGGAGTGACAGGTGTGGGTTCTATTTACTAGCTTTCCATCATCCCTCAATTTAAACATTGTGTCTACGGTAAGCATCTTCTGACTAATCTGTGTTATTTTCACACACAAAAAAGCTTTCTTTGTGGTTGATAAGAATTAGGTATACAATTTTATTTTATAGATCAGCCCAAAACTGCTTCCAGATGCTATGTAATGTGATAGTCACCTGAACTAGTGAAACTAGTAAATTCACTTCCATGGATTTCTCACATTGCTAGTGAGATAACAGCTGGGACTGAGGGCATGCCAAGTGTATGTGTACATCAAATAAGATATCAGGAACTATACCCTTGCCATTACAATTCTAAATGTAGGTGGGTGAAACAGAATACTCACTTGACCCTGAAGAATGCAGGAATCCAGGAAAACAGCCCCTTGTCCTGAGAGTGGATCGTTGTGTCCAGTGAATCCTGTGATCCGATCAGTGACCGCTGGTCATGCTCTCCATAAAACAAAGACGTCCATCTACAAATACCAAAGTCCCTCTGTCAGTGATTGAAAGTGTGGCTCACAATAGACAAAGAACGATATCGAGTCTAACTTTGAAATTCTACCTCCTTATCCATGTGCGTCAAGCTAATATTTACCATGTCAGCAGTTATGCCCTTTTCATACACTCATAAGTGCATCATCAGTTACATTAATTATTAAAGCTCTAAGTAACAAAAACATACATTTAAAAAGAAAGAAATCAAATGTAAAACATGGAGGAACAACATCAATTTTCTTCAACAACTTATCACTTTGCAGAAATTCTGTATGAGTTTGTATATTTGATGAGTTACATATCGTATTTCCTCTAATAAGTGCCAGGCATCGCGCGCCAGGCCTCTAAAGCAGCTCACTAACAATTATGGTAATTACACCCAGGAAGAGCAAAAGCGCCAGGTCTGGAAGTCCATTGAAAAAAGTCCCCAGGCGCTTATTAGAGGAAATATGGTATTCATATATAGTTTATATACATGATTTAGTGGAAGAATCAATAGCACCCTGCATGCAGAACTGATGTATAAAGGAAACAATAATTTAGTTAGATCATTCAAACCTTCAGATACATGCCAGAATAAACACTAAAGGGAGATATGTGGGGGCTCACAGACCTTGTTTGTAAAAGAGTAAACATTTGTACATCTCATCAGTGGTCAGGTATCAGAGACAACAAGCTACACACTATAACATGATTTTCACCAACAAAATATACATGATTAATAAACTTCGATTAAAATGCCTTTGGATCAAAATGTGATCCCTCCTCTTGATAAACCATCACCTGCACTTGGAGCTCTAATGAGTGAAGTCAGTCTTATAGGGATATTAAACTCCAGCTTTGAAAGCATCATAATATCGATCAAATGTTTCTTTGAGGAATACAAATCTGCTTAGTTTGGATAATCAGTTTGATAGGTTTTACTTATGTTCATTGCTATTCTCGCTGTGCTATTCTCAAAGTGACATCTACTGGAGGATCGAGGAATGAGGACCTGTATGTCATGACAAAAGATGTACAATAAACAGGTACAGCCGAACTGACACATGTTTGTGTTGTTGATTAATGCTGACAAAAATTAAAGTGTGAAGCTATCGGTGAATGTCAGTATTTGCACAGTAACAAAATGCATAGTATCCCATCAGAGGGTTTCAGATAAACGAACAGGTGATAACTTGGTCAAATGTAAAATCTGAGATACATTATCACTAGACAAGATGATTTACCATTTATATTGTATTTTCTGGGGAGAATTAAAATTGTGCAGGCTGGACAACAAACTTAAAATAACAAAAATTAAATTGACAAGTATGCTAGTGATGAAGACAGATTTGACTTAAGGATTTCAACTTTTTCCACCTACCAATTAAATGTTTCAGTACAGATGCTAGTACCATTATCAATTGTGTATAACTTGATACTAGTATGTTTATCAAGCATGTATCACTATGTATACTAGTATGTTTATCAAGCATGTATCACTATGTATACTAGTATGTTTATCAAGCATGTATCACTATGTATACTAGTATGTTTATCAAGCATGTATCACTATGTATACTAGTATGTTTATCATGTATCACCATGTAGCATGTTTATCAAGCATGTATCACTATGTATACTAGTATGTTTATCAAGCATGTATCACTATGTATACTAGTATGTTTATCAAGCATGTATCACTATGTATACTAGTATGTTTATCAAGCATGTATCACTATGTATACTAGTATGTTTATCAAGCATGTATCACTATGTATACTATATGTTTATCAAGCATGTATCACTATGTATACTATGTTTATCAAGCATGTATCACCATGTATACTAGTATGTTTATCAAGCATGCATGTATCACTAGTATGTTTATCAAGCATGTATCACTATGTATACTAGTATGTTTATCAAGCATGTATCACTATGTATACTAGTATGTTTATCAAGCATGTATCACTATGTATACTAGTATGTTTATCAAGCATGTATCACTATGTATATGTATACTAGTATGTTTATCAAGCATATGTTTATCAAGCATGTATCACCATGTATACTAGTATGTTTATCAAGCATGTATCACCATGTATACTAGTATGTATGTATTTATCAATGTTTATCATGTATCACATGCATATCTAGTATGTTTATCAAGCATGTATCACTATGTATACTAGTATGTTTATCAAGCATGTATCACTATGTATACTAGTATGTTTATCAAGCATGTATCACTCATGTATACTAGTATGTTTATCAAGCATGTATCACTATGTATACTAGTATGTTTATCAAGCATGTATCACTATGTATACTAGTATGTTTATCAAGCATGTATCACTATGTATACTAGTATGTTTATCAAGCATGTATCATGTATACTAGTATGTTTATCAAGCATGTATCACTATGTATACTAGTATGTTTATCAAGCATGTATCACTATGTATACTAGTATGTTTATCAAGCATGTATCACTATGTATACTAGTATGTTTATCAAGCATGTATCACTATGTATACTAGTATGTTTATCAAGCATGTATCACTATGTATACTAGTATGTTTATCAAGCATGTATCACTATGTATACTAGTATGTACGCTATGTATACTAGTATGTTTATCAAGCATGTATCACTATGTATACTAGTATGTTTATCAAGCATGTATCACTATGTATACTAGTATGTTTATCAAGCATGTATCACTATGTATACTAGTATGTTTATCAAGCATGTATCACTATGTATACTAGTATGTTTATCAAGCATGTATCACTATGTATACTAGTATGTTTATCAAGCATTTACAACTCAAGATGCTAGAACCTTTATCAAGCATTCTTTTATTCAAACGCTACCTTTAAGAAGCACTTTAACAAGGACTAATTACTTCAAATACAATGAAATTCTAGTATATCATATGTAACTTAACATACTAACCAAACTATCAAATTATCAAACACATAGTTCAACTATCACTTGACATAAAACCACAATGATATAACAGTTTCAAAGATTTTGTTCGTTTTGTGTTTTTTACATAATGTTTTCTCTTGTTGGGTTGTGGAAAATATATAAATAAAGAGAAGCGATTTGTTTTAAACTGAAATTGATACAAAGTGAATTTTCAAACACAAGCCAATATGCTAAACCATTTTAAAACATGATATCTAGCATTACTTGTATCTGATTGCTTAATTTGGATAGAACTGTGAGTCTCAGAAGTGAAAGGAAATTTTACCAGTTTGATCACCAAGATTGCAAAAGACAACTGAGGTATCAAACTGAAAGATGAACACTGGTTATGCATCAACCCATCGGTACATGTGAACGGAATATATACAGGGAGTAGGAAGGGAAAACAGTCAACAGTCACACACCCATACCTAGCTTACACACTCACTGTGCACATCATACACCCTCGTGCAACCAACATCTCCAATAAGTGCAACCTAAACGTCAAATCAGTGCAACTTAATTCATTAAGTGAATACAAGGTCACGTTGATCTTTTTTGAAAAGGAAATACGGAAGCTTTCCCAACTTCTGTTGGCACTAATTTTAAAACTATGTTTATTTTGCAATCTATTAAAATACTTGTCTCCACATATACTGAGTGTCAATATCCTGTATGAAGTGCTCTGAAGCAGTGTTTGTTAAACTGTGCATGCATCTGAAGAGAAAACTCAGGATGCAGATTTGACTCCTGTTACCATGGTTATTGTTTGCTATCTGAATCCCTCCACCCACATCACTTTGAAGTAAGAAAACTCATTTGTCTTGCTGTAGATAAATATGCAAGTACTATCATGAGCATGTCACCATCATCACATCCCAGCAACTAAGCATGGCTCCAGGAAAGTTAGTTTTGTTCATTGCCACTGTATATACATTCCTGATTGACAGATTCACTCTTCTGAAAAACGGAATTAGTTTCCAGGCAATTTCTTTTGAGAATTAGAACAGCAAGCTGTTATTTTCTTTTTCGTTCAGAAAATTGCTTTCAAAAGAGAGGAATTTTCAGTTTTTGTATAAAGTGAGATCAAATTATTTCAGTTTTGGGTATTAAATGAAACTGGAAATTGCCACTGAATTTTTCTGACATGGGTACTTTCTTCAAAATTCAGATTATCAGATACTTAATGGATATAGGTATACCCATCAATATGTTTCACAGAACCACAGGAACTGTAATATTCCCAGTCTTTTTGAGCACTCCCCACACTGGTTATACATTTGAGATCACTCAGGCAAGTCAGGAACATTACAAGTCTCATGCACTGCGGTACCATTCATAGCGATGAACAAAAACAATCTCACTGCCTGAGCTCAGTTCCACAAAGAGATGTTAGCACTATGACTGTCATTGATCAATGTTAACGTGTGGCAATATAACCATCTAAGAGCTTAGATTATCATTAATCTATGGAGTTATCATCAACTTAGCGGTAAGATCACATTGTGGAATAGCCAGGGCCAACTTTGACCAAACAATCTTAGCGCTACAACTGCAAATCCCATATTTATGAGACTAACTTTAGTAGTACTAGCGCTAAGACCAGGCGGGCCCTGGACACTCTTTCCCAAGGTGATTGTACAGCTGCAATCACAACTCCATGTTAAAGTACTGGGGCAGTCGTATTACTAAGATCGCTAAGGGAACAGTGTCAGAAGGTGTAACAGGGGTCACAGGATCACTACAGGCTACCAACACTACACGCAGACGAGTAAAACCAACTAAAAGCATACACGTTGTATCCAGTGTCACCAGTTTTCACAGGGGTACTGTCACAAAAGAGGAAAAAACACAAAAAAGTAAAGAAAAGGTTACACAAATCGTGATCATTAAACAATAAATATCACAGAAATCAAATTATAAAACTGTCTTCTGTGAAGTAAAAACATCATGAACAATAAAAACATGAAACGTGAACATGTCGAGGAAACAAGAAATAATAACAGAACAGATACAAAACTGTTTTGAGTTTATGACCCATGTTTTCAATGGGGTCAGCACTTCAGTTTGAGCCAGGCAGGAATCTATTGATCATACTGTTACCTTAGGGGTGTACTGTATCATGACATCATTACAGGCCTACATTACAATATATAATCAGCCAGTCTTCTCTATCTGACATAATCCACATTAACATACTAAAGGATTTGTCAACTTGGATTTATGGCATATTACATTTCATGATTATAAAAATAGGACTACAGTTCAGTAGAATTTTGAATATCACATCCTATGAGAAATAAACAAAGAGGCCATTTTGATAGGAACTTGGCTAATAGTACAGTTAATCCCCCATTTCCTCAAATACCAACCTACATTCAGTCATGCTATTGACTTTTTCACAAATGCAGATGGTGATAGTTACAAAGGCTTAGACATTCAAATCTCTTTCAAAACTTAACACCTGCTAGAGTATATACCAACAACAAGCATCTTATTGAAAAACACTGCTTTGTCCTCCTTATTGTACAGAATATAATTGCAAGGGCTGCCTGATGACCACCAAAATAAAAGTGAGATGTAATTTGATGTTATTTTACAAAGGGAACATAGATAACCCTGGGTTTTCAGTAATAAACATAATCAATAAGAAAGTAGTTACCAATAATTAAGTTTGTAGATTGAGATATCAGTATGTTGTAGGCAAAGTATTAGTTTGGACTTTTTATACTGACTTCATTGTAAATATAAAGTATATTTCTTAACTGAATCATTTCTTCAATATCATGATGATGCAGTTGGCCATGACAGCTAAACTGAGTCTACATGTGACTGATGTTTTCATGTACCAGTTTACTATGTAAGGATATATGCAGTAAGATAAACAGTATAACATCTTAAATGAAGGCAATGATCAACATTGCTAATTGTTAACATCCTCCAAATCTTCCTGATCTTACCATGCTTATTGGTAACTATGACTAAAATTCCTACCAAGATATGTTTAGCATTGACAATGCAAAATATTAAAAGCTTCTTTCTATAAACATTTACAGCATATTTAAACATTAATCATTTTTCGATATACCTGGTATGTTTTCCTGAACAGTGACTAAATATGTAATTATTTTTACAAAAAACATATTTCACAGCCTGGCAGAATGTAGATGCTTCACAATGTTCAAATGAAAACAAAATACAACTTACAGTAATAACCAATTAAATATAAAATGATAATTTTACAAAAATAACCTCAGAGTACACATGTATCTAACGAGGCCATAATGGACAGGTGGGACCTACTTCTCCTCGGTGCGGCTGATGAGAGCGATGCGGCCGTAGTCCCACGCTATCTTCCTCAGTATGGTGAACAGCAACAACAGCACCTGTGACAGTCAGAGAGTGAGTGTTGTTTTATGTCATAGTTCGTGTTTCTGTGTCTATAGCTGTCTGTGTGTATATGTGTCTGTCTGTGTTTGTATGTGTCTGACAAGTCTGTAGCTGTGTCAGTGCATGTAAGTGTGTGTGAGTGAGTTTAGTTTTACGCTGCTTTTAGAAATATTCCAGCAATATCATGGAGGGGGACACCAGAAATGGGCTTCACACATTGTACCCATGTGGGGAATGAACCCGGGTCTTCGGCATGATGAGCGAACGCTTTAACCACTAGGCTACCCCAGCACCCTAACCATGTGTGGGTATCTGTGTCTACAGCTGTGTCTGTGTGTATATGTACCTATCTGTGTGTATATGTACCTATGTGTGTAACCGTGTGTCAGTATCTGTGTGTATAGCTGTGTCTGTGTGTATATGTACCTATGTGTGTAACCATGTGTGGGTATCTGTGTGTATAGTCTGTGTGTATATGTATTTATGTGTGTAACCGTGTGTGGGTATCTGTGTGTATAGCTGTGTCTGTGTATATGTATGTATGTACCTGTGTGTAACCGTGTGTATAGGTATCTGTGTGTATAGCTGTGTATGTGTATTATATGTGTGTCTGTGGGCATCTGTGTGTATAATTGTGTCTGTGTGTATATGTACCTATGTGTGTAACCGTGTGTGTATCTGTGTATCTGTGTAACCGTATGTAACCCGTGTGCTGTATCTGTGTGTATGTCTGTCTGTATCTGTGTATATGTACCTATGTGTGTCTGTGGGTATCTGTGTGTATAATTGTGTCTGTGTGTATATGTACCTATGTGTGTAACCATGTGTGGGTATCTGTGTGTATAGCTGTGTCTGTGTGTATATGTACCTATGTGTGTAACCGTGTGGGTATCTGTGTGTATAGCTGTGTCTGTGTGTATATGTACCTATGTGTGTAACCATGTGTGGGTATCTGTGTGTATAGCTGTGTCTGTGTGTATATGTACCTATGTGTGTAACCGTATGTGTGTGTATAGCTGTCTGTGTGTATATGTACCTATGCGTGTCTGTGTCTGTGTGTATATGTACCTATGTGTATAACCATGTGTGGGTATCTGTGGTATAGCTGTGTATCTGTGTGTATATGTACCTATGTGTGTAACCGTGTGGTATCTGTGTGTATAGCTGTGTCTGTGTGTATATGTACCTATGTGTGTAACTGTGGGTATCTGTGTGTATAGCTGTGTCTGTGTGTATATGTACCTATGTGTGTAACCATGTGTGGGTATCTGTGTGTATAGCTGTGTCTGTGTGTATATGTACCTATGTGTGTAACCATGTGTGGGTATCTGTGTGTATAGCTGTGTCTGTGTGTATATGTACCTATGTGTGTAACCGTGTGTGGGTATCTGTGTGTATAGCTGTGTCTGTGTGTATATGTACCTATGTGTGTAACCATGTGTGGGTATATGTGTGTATAGCTGTGTCTGTGTGTATATGTACCTATGTGTGTAGCCGTGTGTGGGCATCTGTGTGTCTGTCTTTCTATGTGTATCTATGTCTGTCTGTGTGTCTCACAACACTTCATCTAACAAGAATGCAGCTGTGTGATATCAGACAGTAAATATTCAAGTCTGGACCCAGTCTAAGTAAACTTGGCTTAGTATTATTCGTTACACTGCTATACTGAGTCTAACAAACCCTAGTAGAAGGTCGCCTCATCTAACCTTTTGAATTGACCAATCAGAAATCGGATTGGTTAAATCCGTTCGGCTGTCTCGCGTTTGACTGGACGGTCATAGGTCGCTCAAAGGTTAGATGATGCTACCTTTACTAGGGTTTGTTAGACTCAGTATAGCAGTGTAATGAATAATACTGAGCCTAAGTTCACTTAGACTGGTCTGGACCCAACAATCTAGAGACTGATATTATGAGCAAGTCCAGGCAACCTTCCATGCCACCAGGATGCAGTAATATGCAACAAGTCTAACAACCTGATCCATTAAGTTACTTCTTATAAGCAGCAGAGGTTGGTGAAGGCCAACTCTAACCCAGAATTCCACAGGGATACATCAGCGTCAGCAATAATCCACCTACGTAATGCTGGCCTGTGTATAATTGAGGCAGACCCAGGCAATGAAATCTCCCAGCCTGACCATCTGATCCATTAAGTAGACTCATAGCACAAGCCAAGCTTCCTAGGGACGTATTCCTAATCCTCAGGTATCTTGGGTCTAGTGCTGCTGTATGATAACATCCACATGGGAGAGTAGTGTTCTGTGACATTCTCCAGAGCATCAAGGGAGGAATATTCTCATCTGACTACAGAGAATTGTTAATAAAGCTTGTTGCAAAACAAATGATGTTGCCTGTGCCGTACTGTGTCATGATCAACATTGCTATTTAATATATTCACTTTATCATGTGTCAAGACTTCTATAATTTTCAAATATGCATCAATAACTCCATAGAGTGAGTGAGTGCAAGTCACCCATATTAAAACTACATCATTACTGCCTCACATAACAAATGGTTGATAGCACGAGCATTGTTCTACACAGTCCAGGTCAATATTGTAACCCTTCAAAAGAAAATTCTTGAAGTTCCAGGAAGTCCAACTGACAAACAGTCATCTTTGATAATCTTTAAGAAGCTTCGAAGACCATGAGTAAGTGAGTGAGTTTAGTTTTACGCTGCTTCTAGAAACTTCCAGCAATATTACGGTGGGGGACACCAGAAATGGGCTTCACACATTGTACCCATGTGGGGAATCGAACCCGGGCCTTCAGCGGGACAAGCGAACGCTTTAACCACTAGGCTACCCCAACGCCCCTGGAAGAACATGAACACATAACACTTTTTAAGAATAACCATTTCTAATATTTTTTGTAACAACATTTCAGACCTACTTCTCAGCCCTTCATTAAGACAAGAGGTTGTTTCTATCAACCAGTTAGTGTTTAGTTTGCATCATTGTTTATGCTCCTAGTGACGCTAGCAGATTTATCATTATATGCTAGGGGTTAAAGTAAACATTGCATGGAAACTGATGCAGAGAATCAGAATCTGAATCAATAAATGACAAGCTGATATCAGGAGTACATTCACGACACATCAATGCATCTGTGAATCATAACAGCTGTAACCACCATTATGCAGGGAGGATGTTTTTTTAATAAATCCTACAATCAGGAAAACTTTAAGACAAGACAAGACAAATTTGGTCTTCTAAATATCCACAGTCCTGGTAACCCAGACAGGCACACAGGGCATATGATTGTATCCAGTCAGTTGTGAGCCAATACATAAATAATAAATATATCTGATATATAAGATGATATGTGATACAGAGCATGACCTCAATAGATTTCTGTAATATCAAATGAACCTTTGGCCTGCTTAATTGTTTTCGCACTTCTTACCTTGTCTGCTGGATTGTTTTAGCATAATGCTCTGGAAAGAGGCTAGGTGATATCAAACAACCACTGCTTAATTATATAAGGGACAACTGAAGCAATATTTTGCAAATTTATTCCAGCACAATGGTAAGTTATGAACCATTTCTGGAATTAACATACCCAAACATTTGTCTATAAAAATCATTTTTAGCAATGTCATTACATCAGTTCCTGAATGTATTAGATAGCATTGCAAGATTCAAATGAATCTAATTATTAAAACACAATCACGAATTTCACGGATCCTCTTTCCTAGTGAAATTCTGATTCTGTATTTAATGAAATATGTGCCCTGGGAGGATTGAAACTTGCATTTGCGGACACTATTTCAAACATTAGCAAGCTAAATATAAATTGTGAGAATGAAAGGTAGTCAGTTTACATAAAACGTCCATGAACTATTTAAAATAGCTTTGTATAATAGTTACTGAGGCCATAACCCGCTCCACTGCTTTTGTTTCCTGTAAAACAAATCTGTATACTTTACAAAAAATACAGAATGCCACATAACATATTTTTGGAGGAAGGACTTATGAAGACTAATTAAAGTAGTCCAGTAATTTGGCCTGGTGTATTTATTGAAACATTGCATGTAACACAGTGAATACAGTACAGGTACCCCAGGCCTCCTCCCTACTTACCACCCACGCTATAACATTGATGATCAAGTTGTCGGGTATCCCAGCATACTCCGCATACAGGATGTAGGTGACAGTGTGGTTGTCAGCGGAGCGAGAACTGCACGTATCGTCGGCAGATGACCCCATCTTCTCGTCACCTCAAGAACATCAAGCACACTCTACCGATGCTGCAACACAAGAAGGAACGTTAAGCACAGCCTGGCAGCAGCACATGACATAAATACAAAACAGTAATTATCTGCAAAAAGATATTCCACAAGTTGTAAAAGGAAAAATAGTGGTGAAATTATACAAATGGATCTCTGAAAGAAAGTAAAGACACCAGGTGCTCACAAAAAGCAGTGTCCAGTTGTACACCATGGCTGCAATACATAGACATCAAACATACCTCGGCAGCAACAAAAGAAGGTTTTCAACATCCTGGTTGCAATAAAAGATAAACAAGCATGCCCTGGTGGCCATACAAGATCATCAAGCACATCCTGGCTGCAATAAAAGATCATCAAGCACAAATTTCGAAAAACGTTGCCATACAAGATCATCTAGCACACCCTGGCTGCAGTAAAAGATCATCAAGCACAATTTCGAAAAACGTTGCCAGGGTTCGAAATACCTCATATGTTAGCGTGCCATGGCATGGTAAATATCGAAATGGCACAGATAAAAAAATGTTCTCGGTGCCCTTAATTGTTTAGAGACATACCACACCTTTAGTCATTTAATCCCCAAACAAAACACTTATGCAAATGACAAACAAGCAAAAACATTTATTGACTTTCTTGTCCAGGAAATCACTGGAATTATGATGGTTGATGTAAAGAAATCTTGTTGTTTTTTCATTGGGAGTACTGATAGTTCAATTATTGATGAGGAAATTGTGTATGTAAGATATATTGAAAAAAGTGAACCTCTCACAATTTTTAGCTATTAAAGGTGTTGGGAAAGCTGAACAAATGAAGCTTAAGAAAGCCATCTTAAACAAAAGACATATCAGTGATAACAGAAAACTGGTTACATTTGTTGTTTTCTGACAATAAATTTCAAAAGATCATCATCCTTGCTACAGTCATTTATTCAAAAAACATGTGGGCACACTTGATTTCTGAAAGGCACACCTAAAATATTTGCCTGATGCCCTAAGGCACACTTCGGAAAAAAAAGTATTTCTATCCCTGGTTGCCATACAAGATCATCAAGCACACCCTGGCTGCAGTAAACGATCATCAAGCACAATTTCAAAAAACGTTGCCATACAAGATCATCAAGCACACTATGGCTGCAATAAAAGATCATCAAGCACACTCGTGTTGCCATACAAGATCATCAAGCACACCCTGGCTGCAATAAAAGATCATCAAGCACAATCTTGTTGCCATACAAGATCATCAAGCACTTCTTCCTGCAAATTCAATGCCCTCAAAATACCATAACTTCCTATCTAATTTTAGGACATAAAAACAAAACAAAACAAAACAATATTCCAAGATTGTTACATCTAAGATCGACCCCAATTGAAACCACGCAGCAGACACATTTTCCCTGATATATTCCCATGACTATGAGTTGACCATATTCTATTAATATTTCCCACATATCAAACTGGAGTTCATAATCACCATGATCACATATATCACACAAGAAACTGTCATTCTCATTAGACTTACAGGTATTTTTGTAGTCAGACTGGCTGTTGCCACAGATGTAGATCAGTGTGTTATTTCAGCTAGTCGTAACTTACCACAGCCTGTCTGGGGCCATGGCTCTGATGGCAAACAATGATGCAGTAACGGCAACAGATACAGCACTTTGGCGGATATACCGCATAAATCTGAGACATTCCAGTCAAACCTGATCACCAAGATGCTGCTGTTACTTGCTTTCTGAAGCTGGGTCAATGTAGGTTAAGGAATCTATACAGGCAATCCTCTGGTCTACAATTTTTTTAACTTTTCATTCATAATTCATCAAACCAAACTCATGTATTATGATATGACTCAATCAAAGTATTAAAATATATGGTTTATGTTTTCCGATAAAATATATGACCAGTCTCAAAATCATGTTCAGAAAAACTCTGCAAATCTAAAAATATTAAACACATGTCCAAAAGAGATGTGAATCTTCAGGACTATCAAACGAAGAAGTAGCTTGAGGATTTTCCTATAATGTACAGAATGTGATTCTCAGTGAAGTTATAATCAGTTTATACTGTATGAAAGACTTGCAAACATTTGAGTTCAGTGCCAACATGATTTCTGTCAGGATCATAATATATCATTGACAGTCTCAACAAGTTGCATATATGGCCACCTTGAGCTTGCCAACTGGCTTTTGTCAACGTGGCCTGAATGAGTTCATTAGAGTCATGTCCCATCATTGATGCCTATAGGCACATTCAATTTCAGCTGAAAGTTGCTGTTGACATTGAATTCCAATAAGTTCAAAGTGATGAGTGGCTGTCTACCCTGAGCACCAATACCCTCTTTCCAGTGGCGTTTTGTCCCAGAATGTTCAATGGGAGCCATATATGGGGAAAAAGATGGCCATGGAAAAGCGTTAATGTTGTTTTCAGCCAGATAATCCATCGACACCCTGCTGTGGGAGGGCTGCAAACATTGCTGGCGTTGTTGGCGTCAAAATTGGCCCCACATATCAAAAGTGGATTTCAGCAGCCATATAATCGTATTTGGACACTGCAGCCCATGAACTAAGGCTGCTGTTCGGTTCCTTAGATGATGTCCCGGATGAACCGATCGCATGAGGACACGGTGCTACCGGTTTTGATGACGACCCATGAACTAAGGACTGCTGTTATTGTGTTGGTGCTTGTAACTTTCCAATGGTTCCTTAGATGATCGCTTTGTGTGATCTCCGGATCAATAACCACATCTTAAAGGATGCATGAAAGATGCTTTTCATCCAGAATGCACATGCTAAAATTATGGTTTCGCTGCACTGTTGGTGTGTTTGTGCGAATGGTTCATATGTACGTCAAATTGCATGACATCATCTCATCTTGGATCATTACGACACATTACCATGAATGTTCCATAAACATGAATGCATACCTTCATGAGATTTCATTTTTTCGAAACTTGCGTTTCTTTTGCTGTTCAGTATAAAATGATTCTTAACCATACAAAAATACTTTAGCTTAGACCTGTTATTCAGGAAACCTTACAGACTGCTGGTTAAGACTACACAAAATATATGGGTTGTTTCTACATACCCATGACTCGTTCATCCACAAGAGTTAATCTAGGCATGATTCAACAAGTATCAGTGCTGCCCTGGCTACAAGGGTCCAATGAGTATGATAAATATTCAACATCTGAAGTTAAAACTCTTGATGATCCTACTCCTGTTGAAAACATCGTCTTGAAGGAACAGCCCCTCATTTCTGTCTGAAGGCATGATAATGTGACAGTACTACAAAGGTGTCAAGACTGCCATCCCGAGAGATAATACATGCATCTTCATCCAAAATGAACCCTGATGATGAACCGAGACAACAAATCCAACACTTCCCTCATCATGCTCCTGACAGTGATTCCGATCACGTATCAATTGTCTTTCATCTCGGTTCAGTGTAATCTCGACTACCTGCACAAATCACTGGCTTTGTCACATCTGATAAAGAAGTATTGATTGCAAGGCTTACATTCCCAGTAATTACGCCCTCCAACAAACTCCAGCACAGTATCTTGTAACATGTCTCAGACAGATTCAGTCTCCTGTTCTTCATCCCACCAGATCAGCAGCAGCAGCCAAGCTACATACCGGTATTCATTCCTTCGGATAAAAGTCTAGACTAGGCTTTGTTCTGCACTCATCAACAGTGATGGGTATTTCCCTCAAGAACATTAATGCTGTATGGGACATCTATTGCTCTTTAAATGTCCCACCTGGAAACAGGGTCATTGTTAATTAATAGTACTTTCCACTCTGAAATCATATGTTCCTTTTTGATAATACTTCAAGCCAGTGAGGTCATTACTAAGAAAGGGAATGATCATAAGATCTTCAAAATTATTCAGAATTCTACCCTGACATTCAACAATGCTTGATTCTGATTAGATAAAATGATGTCCCAATTTTACTCTATTAAATAAAGCCTTTCTCCCAAAAAGCATGAGAAGATACATTGATAGCTAGCTACATATTAATCCATTAAGAATGGTTCACGATTACCCATCATACAATATTATATTTCTTATGGATATCTTTGGCAGTGACATCCAAGAGTTTAACCCTAACTGGTTTGACAAAGTGATGACAACAGTAAACAAAGACAATCTTCTGCATACAAATGGTATGGATGGTAATTCTCACATTAAAACAAACAATAATATAAGTAGAATGCAACATCAGAAAACCTAAAAACATCATTCATCATCTGTGACCAACACTTCTCACTCATAAACATCAATTACCTTGCTATCAAACCCTGGATTGTTTGGTTCAGACTCCATTATTAACACAGTGCTATTATATAAAAAATGTGGTTGGTTGGTTGTTTAACAGCACACTCAGAAATATTCCAGCTAATCAAGTCTGGATCAAACAATCCTGTGATTAACAGCATGAGCATCGATCTACATAATTGGGAACCGATGACATATTTCAACCAAGTCAGCGAGCCTGACCGCCCAATCTTTCAGTCACCTCTTATGACAAGCATGGGTTGCTGAGGACCAATTCTAACCTGGATCTTCATGGGTGTATAAAAATGTGAAAAACAAAACCTAAATCCACAAATCCATCCAGTATGGTGTTTGTTGCTTAACATCTGACACAGCAGTAATCCAGGAACAAATAGTCTTGATGGTAGATTGTATGTATGTAAGTTAAGGCCAGACAATTAGTGATTGACATCACAAGCACTTGGGACGGGATGACAGTGAACCCAGTCAGCAAGCCTTCCCACACAATCCTATCCTATAAGTTGCCTTTTATGACAGATATGGGCTTCTGAAGACCATTTCTAATCATGATTTTCACTATGTACAACCAATGGGTTGTTCACAATAAGATCAATTCTTACAGATCTTCAAAGATTACAAGCATGGGTTGTGCAAGACTGTTTCCAATCGTGATCTTCACAGAGTACAAGCATTGGCTGTTGAAGATCAATTCTAACCAGATCTTCATTGTGGACAAGCATCTT